GGAGGACAGAGGCTGCACCTGCCCCTCCGGGAAGGGCCACTGCCCACTCCAGCCTGTTCCAGGCTGCGGCGGGAGCCGACGGAGGGGAGCGGGGCTGCGCCGGGGCTAGTTTTCCGAAGGAGAAGAGCGAGATCTGGGGCAGCCCAAGACGGACGGAGGGAGCTCGAGGTCGGGCGAGAGGCGCGGTCGGAGGGATGGCAGCAGGGCCGTGCGGGCACGGTGGGCGCGTGGCAAGGAGCGCGCGTGGAGGTCGGGGCGGCGTGGTCAGTGGCCGCGGACCAGAGGGAGGAAGAGGCTGCAGGAAGGACAGGCTGAGACGGAAGGGACCTGGCGAGCGAGCGGGACCGAGGGCTGGCTGCGGGAGGGATTTGGCGGCTGGGCGGCACTGGGGGTGCGGGGTGTGGGGTGCCTGACCCGGTAGGGCGACACCCTTGGCCACTGACCCGAGTCTATCTCTCCCGCTTGCCCCGTCCCCGCCGTCTGTCGCGGCCTCTGCAGGGCCGGCTCCACCATGGACTGTAGCTGCGTCTCCGACCTGCTCTTCGCCCCGCCTGCCCTGCCGGCTCTCTGGACCCCCGGTAACTGGCCCGCCCGGACCTCCCCTTCCCCAGGTTCACCCGGGAAGGGAGTGGGGAGCAGCCGCACCCGATTCTCTCGGTACCCCACTGTGTGTCACTTCTTGTTTCCTACGCGATTGCTTCTCCCCTGGTCTTGGTCAGAGCCCCCAGAATAAAAATGTCTTGGTGAAAACTTGGCGGAAAAACTTCCCGGCCACGTTTTCCCCGCCACCTGCCTGCTGCGGGAGGGGCCCAAGTCGGAGGGAGATGAGGATGCAGGAGCCTCAGGCTCCGGGTCCTCCTCAGCCTGCGCCCTTTGGGGACCCTGCAGGCAGGGAGGCGTTGGGGAGGTGAAGGGGAGGTGGGCCCCAGAGCCAGGTCAGGAGCAGCACGAGGACACCCAGCTGGGAGTGGATGCTCTGAAGGGGGGAGGGGGACAGTGACGCTGGCTGGGCTGTTTGTGAGCTGAAGGCACACGATGGACCCTGTGTGTGTGCACATGTGTGTAATGGAGGGAGGGGCTGGAGTAGCTTGGGGTCTCATTTCAGACAGAGGGGATGCTGGGTGTGTCTGCTCAGTGCTGCTTTTGTGAGAACTGGTGCCTGCTTGTGTGTGCACACCTGGGTAGTCCAAAGATCTCTGGGATGGAGGTGCCCAGCAAGTCACCCAGTGAGGGTGAGGCGGCCTCACCTGACTGTGGTGGGATGTGTGGCTTTCCAAATGGTCATCCTGGAGCATGCAGGGCTGTATGAGTGGTGCTTCCTGGGCTCTGGTGTTGGGGTCTGTGTGCAGGACTGAGTGTGTGTGGGACTATGGTGCTACACGTGTACACCTGCCGCCAAGGCTGGGAGTCCCTTCCTGGCTGACAAGCCGGAGCACGCCGGTGTTTGTTCGGTGGGTTTCACAGTTAGGTTGGGGTCCTGAGGACGTCTGAGATGCAGCTGCTTTCCCGGGGAGGATGTGTACTGGGTGTGGAATGGGTCAGAGCCAGTCTTAAATGAGCTCCGTCCTCTGTGGTGAGAAAAGCCTCGGTAGCTTGAGATTAAAAAAACAAAAAACCAAAACACCCCTTCAGGGACAAGGCTGCATAGTGGGACCCCACCTCCTGCCCCTGAGTCCATGGGACTGCCCTGTGGCCATGTGCCAGGGGATGTAGGAGCCTGGCCTCTTGGCTCAGCACCCTCTGCAGCCTCCGTCCGCAGCCCTCTGCCTTTCCACACCACTCAGCTCATTACAGACAAATCCTGCTGCCTGTTCATACCTGGGTCTGGGGGTGCCAAGCAGGAAGGAGGGAGGACGTGGCATAGGAGTTCACGGAGAAGCTGGATTCAGGGTCCGAGTCTGTGGATGGGGGTAAGGCTGAGGGGCTGGTGAGACTCTCCATCCCAGCTGCATCTGGTCTTGGGTATATGTGGACATGGAGCCCAAGACACTGTTCTGCGTGAGCCAGGGCCATGTGCACTGTCACCTGTGTGTCCCCCCATTGGATCAATGTGTCAGCGCCACATTCGCCATGTCCCTCACACTGTGTTCTTTGCTTCTTTGGACTCCTGTCGCCTCATGCGGCTGTGTGGCTAGGGACCCCGACGTTTTGGGGTTGGAGGTTTTCTTGTATGTGTGGTGACAGATGAGTTAGGTCTGGGGCAGCCTACGGGTGTCTGGTGGGCGGATGTCTGTGATGTCACCTGCTGGGGGCACGAAAGTGTGTGCACACACATGTACTCATATGCACACATCTGCGTGGACACAGCCTGTTCCAAATGGTGCTGTCACACGGCTGAGCCTGGGAAAGGATGTGGGGGTTGTGAAAGACACAAGTGCATCTGAAGACATAGGGAACTCATGTGCACACAGGCCAGCCAGGACATGTGAGGGTGGGATGGGAGGATGGACTAGGGAGCACAGACCAGGGAGGAGAAAGACCGCCAGTGCCAGGGGTGGCTCAGGGCACAGGATGGGCCAGAGACCTTGTGAGCAGGACAGGGCAGCAGGGAGAGTGGATCTGCATATTCTGTCCTGCATGTACAGCAGTGGGGTCCTCCCAATGCCATGGCCACCTCCTGGGATGCTGAGTCCAGCAGGAGCCACAGCCCCAGCAGGGGAATCCTGACCCTAGGGCCACTGCCTGCCTCCCCTCCTCAGGGTTTGCCTTCCCGGATTGGGCCTACAAACCGGAGTCATCCCCCGGCTCCAGGCAGATCCAGCTGTGGCACTTCATCCTGGAGCTGCTGCAGAAGGAGGAGTACCAGGGCGTCATCGCGTGGCAGGGGGACTACGGCGAGTTTGTCATCAAGGACCCTGATGAGGTAGCCCGGCTGTGGGGCATCCGCAAGTGCAAGCCGCACATGAATTATGACAAGCTGAGCCGAGCGCTTCGGTAAGCAGGGGCTGGAGCCTGGATTCCTGCCCTGTCCGCTCCTGCCAGTCCCTGAGGTTGCCTGCCCCCTCCTCCCGTGGTTGCTGGGATTTCTCCTGACAGGGCACGCTGCCAGCTCCTGAGCCCTTCCTTGCCCTAGAGGTTTGGTTATGGAACTTTGGGGAGCCAACATGCTGTGCCCAAGGCCCTGCCCTTGGCTGTCCGTAGGCCTTGAGGCCCCCAGCATCCTCCTGCTCCTACTCCCTCTCCCCACAGCTACTACTACAACAAGCGGATTCTCCACAAGACCAAGGGGAAGAGGTTCACCTACAAGTTCAACTTCAGCAAAGTTGTGCTCGTCAATTATCCGCTGCTGGATGTGGCTGCCGCTGCCACGGGATCCCCACTCCTGCTGACCCCCAGTCCCTTCGCTGGGACCCCCGGGCCAGATGCTCCTCCCCTCACCCCTGAGGTGAGTCTGGGTGAGGGCACACTGTGAAGGCCCCGCCCAGGGAGACCCAGGAGTCTGAGCTGCAGTGCCCCTGCTTCCTCTCCAGACTCTGCAGACCCTCTTCTCTGCCCCGCGCCTGGGAGAGCACGGGGCCCGGACACCGCTCTTCACCCCCGAGACGGACAAGCTTCGTCTGGACAGCCCTTTCCCATTCCTGGGCTCTGGTGAGGGGATGGGGGGGCGGGGAGAGGGTGAGCAGATAGCAGGTTGGGAGGAGACCCAAGGCCAGGGTGTGCTCATTTAATAGCCAGGGGGACATGAGGGGAACACAGGGAGGGGGGCTTTGGGGCTCCCAAGGGGGCTGATGGATGAGTGGGGAGGGACGAAGGGAAGGACACCAGGAAGGGGGAGGCAGCACCAGCAGGCCCCAATGGTGGAGGGCCTCAGCCTGAACCATGCCCTCCTCCCCAGGTGCCACTGGCTATTCCAAGCCCCCTGGTCTGCTGGGTCCCTACAGCCGCACCTTTCCCGAGTACCCCTGGAACTTTAACCCATACCTCGCAAGTCCCTTCCCCAAGTTGCCCCCCTCCTTATACCCCCCCCACTTCTACCCCAACCCTCTGGCCAGTTCTCTGGGCCATCTGCCCTCGACAGGAGCAGGGGCAGGAAGTGGCCCCGCGACTACACCCCTCCTGGCCACACCAGGGGAGAGCCTGGGTCCCGAGCGTCCCTCGGGCCTGGCAGCAGCCCCCCGCCTGGCACTGCCAGGGGCTACAGGCCCGGAAGCCACGCTGGGTGGGAAGGAAGACAGCGATTCTGAGCTGGAGATTACTGATGTCAGCGGCTGCAGCTCCGACAGCGAGGGCGACGAGGGCCTCCTGGTGCCCCCCAAAGCCAAGGCGGGAAAAGGGGGTGCCGGTAGCTGAGCAGGCGAAGGCTGGTGGACCCTGGGAGGCGGGGCCCCGGGTGCCTGCCCACCACTGTGTGCTCGATGCCCACCAATGCCCAGGCTTGGCCCATGGCCCTGTTCCCTGGGCCGGGCATGTCACTGCCCCAGTCTCTTTCCCCAACCCCAGGGTGGGGTCTCAGCCCCCTCACAGAGGGGAGGCAACATGATGGCCTCCAGCCCCTCTCCCCAGGCTCCAGTTGGAGGGGGCCCTGCCTGGCTCCACTCCTCAAGTGCAATACGGCGCCCAGCCTGCCCGCCCATCCCCGTGCTGTGACCTGCGTGTTTGTGCGGCCGTGTCGGACCCCTGTGCCCAGCCCACTCCAGACCCTTTCCCCACAGGCCCCCCTGGGATAGGGAGCTCAGAGCAATAACCCCGCCCCCAGCCCCCACCCAGGAAGGGCCCCCCTCTGTCCCAGCTCCCCATGTCCCTCCCCCGCCACCTCCAGAGTTTACTACAAAAATAAAAGGAGAGATGGGGAGCCCAGTGTTGTGGGTGATAGGAGGGCTCAGGGGTAGGGGCTGGGATAAAGGCTGGGGGAAGACTTCCATACACCTGGGATGTGTGTGTGTGGTTGCCTCAGGAGTGCCCAGAGGAGCAAATAACAGGGCAGAGCCTGAGAGTGGATGTCAGACAGCCTAGAGGGGCCTGGGCAGCACGCCCAGTCCTAGGCTCACAAGACCAGAGTCTTCCTTAGATAATATATATTAAAAAATAAACCTCCAATTCCGGGTATAAAAACAGAGCAAAGGCACTTGGGAGTGGGGGATGGAAGGGTGCTCCCCACAGGCAATACTGAGACAACCTGGGAAAGGGGGTCGTGGATGACCCCAGAACGAAGCCCTGAGTCCCCCAAGCGGAAGGCAGGGGGCATGGGGGGGCCCCTGTCGGCCCATCCCACGCATGGTGGGCCCGAGGCAGCGCTGCTCCGTGTGCTCGGACCCGGGTGTGAGATGCGGCAGGCGGCAGCTGCGAGGCTGGGGTAGCCCTTGGTGTCCGCGCCCCACTTCTTCTCTTTGTGAAAGGCCTGTGCAATGCAGAAGGGAGACAGGGTGGGGGGCGGACACAGTCGGAATCAAGGAGAGGGAGGTCAGGAGCAGGAGCTGCATGGCATGCAAGCAAGGGAGTGCCTCGGTACCCACTCCCAGGGCAGCCCAAGGTCTGGCCCCTCCACCCCTCACCTGTCTGGGCAGGGTCCTCAGGTGCAGCCAGGTTGGGGGACATGGTGCCCCCCAAGCTGAGACAGGAGGGGTCGCAGGCGGCATACCTCCTCCTCCAATTCCTGCTGGGGACAGTCTGTTGAGGAGGGGCCCACCGGGGATCCAGCTAGCTCCTGGCCACACCCCTACTAGTTCCAGGTCCACTCTGACCCCCGCCAGGCCCGCCCCAGCCACACCCCACACACACCTCCAGCTGCCGGATGTTCTCCTCCAGGCTAAGCAGCTTCTCTTGGATATCCTGCATCTGTGCTGGGCTCAGGGGGCCACCTCCTGGGACCCCATCCCCTTCCTGGGGAGGCCCTGCTCCACTGTCTTCCTCCACGGGACACAGCAGTTGCTTCAGGGAATGCACTGACAGGGGCCAAAGGGGACGAGGTCAGACAAGCCAGGGTCTTGGGTGGGATGCCACGGATGCAAAAGAGGTGCGTGTGTGTGTGTGTGTGTGTGTGTGTGTGTGTGTGTGTGTGTGTACCAGGGTGAGAGAGGGCTCAAAAGATTGATGTGCCTAGGGGAGCTAAACTTAGCAAGAGGCACAGAGGGAGAAGAGGGGCATGGCAAGTGGGGTGTACTGGTCTTCCAGCTAGTTTCTCTTTAGCTCCAGAACAGCCTGGGGGAGCAGGGTTGGGCTTACCTTTCTGGAGGGCCATGGCAGCGAGCTGGCCCTCACGGCCGGGTCGGCTGAAGGGCAGGAGGTCGCTGAGGAGTCTCTCAGTCCTGGCTGCTGGGGAGACAGGCCAGGAAGGGTGCATGGCCGGTTACTTCTCATCACCCCAGTGCCCGAGGCCCCACTCGCCTCCCACCAACCCTGTCTGGTCTCACCATCTGTGGCTGGGATCTCTCCGCCACTGTTGCCATTCTCGGAGCTATTGAGCGGGGGCTCTCGGGTGCTAGGGGGAGGAAGTGCTAGGTGACCCCACACCCCTGGCCCCGTGCGGGAGGAGCAACGTCAGGGACAGAGAGAGGTGGAGGTGGGAGGGTCAGGGAAGTTCAGGAGAGATGGGTTGAGGCTGGAGATGGGAGGGGAGCTGACAAAGAGGTCTGGGAACAGGTACACTCATGCAACAGGGCTGGGGCACCAGGTCCCTGGCCCCTCTCACCTGCTTGGACTAGGTCGGGACTTGGGACGAGAAGCCGGGGCAGGGACCTTCAGGCAGCCGGCAGTCTCCGTGATGAGGGTGCACCAGCTGGGAGGCAGGCAGAGCCCCAAGGCCGTCAGCACCCACACCCCTGCCCCATCCTCTTAGGGTTTCCCACCTCCACCCCTCTAGCCCAACAACCCCCAGGGAAGCCCTCACTTCTTCCGTTCTGATACGGTCTGCGCCACCAGCTCGTATATTTGTGCCTCCTGGTCCCAGGTAAAAATGACGTAGAAGGCTTTGTGGTCTGTTGGGGGAGGTGGGGGGATCGGCTGAGTGCCAGGTACCCCAATGTGCACCTCTCTTTGAGCACAGGTGGGGGGGCTAGGGAAGCCTCCCTCAACTTTGCTAAGCCTCAGAGCTTCGTCCACCATCACGCAGCAAATTCCCCAGGGGCCTCTACCCAAGGAGCGCCTCCAGCCACCCACCGTCCGGCACTTCCACTGGCCCTGGGGTGGCTTCTTGGCATGCTTCCACCCCTACTTCCCTCCGTTTCCCAGCAGCAGCTGGGGGTTTTCAACACAGAACACAGAGGGGAGCTGGCCCCGCTCTCACACAAGCACCTGCCACCCCTTCCTGTCAATCTGACAGCCCACATGGCCCCACCCAGCCCCTCCTCAGCACAGGCCACACTCCCTCAGCTCACCGGTGGCCACCTCGCGGGTCATGGCGGAGGTGAGCCGTAGCACTGGCCGCAGCATCGTCTTGCCGTCGGGTGTGGGCGTGAGCGTCCGGCTGTGAGACTTGAGCAGCAGCCGCTCATCCTGGCGCTGCAGAAGCAGCAGCAGGTCGTCCAGCAACAGCACATGTACCTCTGCGGGCAGGTCCAGCAGACACTCAGCACCTGCTTGGCTGCCTGACCCCGCCGGGCCTCCATCCCCAGGCTGTCCCCACTGCCAGCCCGCACTCACCTACGGCCTTATCCTTTGTCACCCGCCATACCAGGGGCCCCTCATGCACCAGCCTCTTCTTGGTGATGTCCAGGTTCTAGGGGTGGGAGGACAATGGGGGTGATCCTGCGGTATGCCTTCATCAGGGGTCTTGGTGGGTACCCCACTGGCAATGAGGTGAAGGGCTCAGAGCTCCCCGGGAGCCATACCACAAGGGCAGGGTGGGAGGGGAAGGGAAAGGCAGGTGGCACCCACTTTGAACTCGCTCAGCATGGGGTCGCTGCTCTGCCTCAGGTGGGACAAATCCAAACGCCGCTGGTAATCCTTGAGTCGCTGGAAAAAGAAAACAGGAATGTTACAGGGCCAGGCCAGGCACAAGCACACACAGCCCCGTGCATGCACTTCCCCGCCCTGGCTCACCAGCAGGTCCTCCATTTCGCGCACGGCTTGGTTGACATGGTGGAGGATCTCACGGCAGCACTCAGCCGCCTTCTCCACCTTCTCCCGTTCCGCGGGCTCTTCTGCAAGTCAAAGGAGTGGCCAACCAGTGAGCCTTCCCACCCTGGAAGCTCCTGGCCAGGGGAGGGGGTGCAGGGGGTGCCCTGAGGGGCACAGGGCACTAGGGAGTGGGGTGCCTGCGGGCGTGGGGCCTGGCTGGGGAGTGGGGTGCCTGCGGGCGTGGGGCCTGGTCGGGGAGTGGGGTGCCCGCGGGCGTGGGGCCTGGTCGGGGAGTGGGGTACCTGTGTTCTGCCCGATGCTCTGCAGCAGCAGGGGATACTTGGTCAGCCGTTGCATCTCGGTGGGGATCATGTCCTTCAGCTGCAGGCGCCGGCACCGTGGGCGGCTCTCGGCTTCCTGCGAGGAAGCAGCCAGTGCTGGGCGGCCTGAGCCTGAGGCTCTCCTTGGACTCGGGGTCCAGCCCCTTCAGCTATAGGGCGGGCGTGGATGGGGTGGGATGAAGTGGGGGTTCCCGGGGCTGCAGATCCCATACCTGCACAAAGGCACAAAAGCGAGGCTCCTTGCGCTGTTTGACTTTGAGCTGCTCTAAGGCAAATGACTGGCGGCTGCAGAAGCGGGAGGAGATCTTCTGGAACCAGGAGCCCTCTGTACCATCGAACTGCGGGACAGTGAGGCCGGAGGAGGCTTGTCAGGTGGGATTGGCAAGAGCAGGGTTTGGGGTTGGGGGGGGATGGGTAGGACGGGCAGTGGCCGCACCCGGGCTAGCAACACGTCTCCGATCTCCTCAATGAGGTAGCCACTCTCTTGTCTCCGCTTCATAAGACGATCCAGGAACAGAGCTGTGGGGTGCGGTGAGAGAAAGGGGGCAGTTACTCTGTGAGGTCTGGGTGGAGGGGGAGCTCAGGCAGGTGGGGGGCCGGCTCTGCACTCACAGTGCACGTCGATGAGCTCGTCGAGGCTGGGGAAGATGTTCTGCAGCTCCTCCAGCGGGAAGAAGCCCCCTTCGGCCATGGGCTGGTAGAAGAGGTCGTGGAGTACCCGCAGCATGCGCACGTGGGCCGCCTCGGTCACCAGCAGCTCTGGGGGGGGGGGGGGCACCAAAGTGGGCTGGGACCCTGTACCGGGGCAGCCTCAGAGGCAGGCTTGGGCGTGGAGCCATTCTGTCCCCTTAATTAGCTTCGAAAAGCCTCCACAGGCCACCTTTCCCTTTCTGTAGTGCAGCCAGCCAGGGTGGCAAGGGTGCCCCTCTGCCTGTTCGTCACGCATCTTAACAATCAAGTTCTAGGCCAAGCACGTGCCAGGTTTAACTCTCCAGGCTTTCCCAGTCCCAGGTTCTGCTCCTGCCTCTGGCACAAGTCCGTGGCTTCAGTCCTGGGCACCGCCGGAAGCCCTGGAGACCAGAGGCACGATGCTGCGTGCAGGACGTGCCCCCCGCTGAGGGAATGTACTGTGTTGTCAAGCGCGGCAGCTGCGAGCCACACACACCTCTGCACGTGTGACTCAAGTAAAAGAGGACGCAATGCACAAATTCAGCTCTCAGGTACCTCTCAGGTCACCTGCCCTGGAGATGACCAAGCTGGACATTTCCATCATTCCACAAAGCTGCATCAGAGAGCACTGCTTCTGTTTATTATGTCCTGCTGAAGTCTGTGACCCCAAAAGTAGTCACCCCATACCCTAAAAACTCTGACTGCTCAGTGGCCTGTCAGGCAACCCTCAGTCGAGCTTTCTGTGTTTTGAAAGAAGTGTGGCTTTCAGCTTTTACTGTCCGTCTCCTTCCCACGAGAAAACGGAAAACAATCCAGACAAAAGCCACATGCCCTCCCCGCCTCACTGCCCAGGAGACGGCACTGCTCCCGGTGATCATTCTGCAAGATTAGGGAGGGGCGTGGTACATGGGGGTGCCTCGCGTCTGCTGGGTCTGGCTCTGATCTTGATCCTGGTTCCTGCTGATGAACACACACCCTGGACAGCAGTACACGGGAAACCCTGGTGGAGCTCTTAGCTCCTGGCTTCAGACAGGCCCAACCTCAGCTGCTATGGGCATTTAGGGAGTGAACTGGGTGCGTGAAGGCCGTCTTTCTCTCTTTTTCAAGTTAAGCAAATAAATAAATACTTAAAGAGAGCCACTTATGCAAAGTGGAATTAAAGGATGCTCATTTTGGAGGCTGGTGGTGTGGCACAGCAGTTTGAGTCCTGGCTGCCCTGCTTCTGAACCAGCTCTTTGCCACGTCACCTGGGGAAGCAGTGGAGGACAGCCAAGGTCCTTGGGCCCCTGTCACCTGGATGGAGTTTCGGGCTCCTGGCTGTGGCCTGGCCCAGCCCTGGACTCTAGTGGCCATAATGGAGTGTGAACGTGAACCAGCAGCTTTCTTCCTCTGTGGGGTGGCACTCACCACTGATGACCTCCTGCCGTTTCACCTGGCTCTTGGGCAGGTTGTGCAGGGTGTCCAGGGGCACGAGCTCACGCCAGCCAGGGGGCTCTTCTGGTTCTAGCTCCAGTCCTGACCTTCCTGGCTCGCCTTCTTCGCCAGGCTCAGGGCTGTGGACAGAGGCCCTGTTAGCAGCCCACTTGGGGCAGCCCAGGAAGCAGCCTCCAACCTCTCTGTGGCCTTGGCCTTTTATGTCCCCAGGGTCTCTAGACAGGAGCACCCCCTCCAGGCCTCAGCATCTGGTGGCTGCTACAACCCCCTCCCTAACTCTCCAGCTGCCTCAGTGGACGGACAGATGAACGGACGGGGAAGTGACGTACGTGGCTCGTCGGGCAGGGCCTAGCACGGCCGCGGCAGAGCTGGGGTCCATGTCCACGTCGCTCCGGGAACGGCCCCCACCCCGGCCCTTAGCCCCGAGGCTGCCCCGGGAAGGCCGGCGGCGGTCACTCACCCGCAGGCTCTCTGAGCGCCCCAGACGCCCTGACAGCCTAGACCCCGAGGCCAAGGACACAGTCAGGCAGAGGCCAGGACAAAGAGATCACAGCAGGGATGAAGACAGGGACAGAAACAAGGAAAGGGACAGAGACAGGGACCAGGACAGGGACAGGGACAGGCCAGGACAGGGAAGGGGAGAAATCAGGACAGGGACGGGGACAGACCAGCACAGGGACAGACCAGGACAGGGACGGGGACAGACCAGGACAGGGATGGGGAGAGACCAGGACAGGGATGGGGACAGACCAGGACAGGGACGGGGACAGACCAGGACAGGGACGGGGACAGACCAGCACAGGGACAGACCAGGACAGGGACGGGGACAGACCAGCACAGGGACAGACCAGGACAGGGAAGGGGAGAAATCAGGACAGGGACAGACCAGCACAGGGACAGACCAGGACAGGGACGGGGACAGACCAGGACAGGGATCGGGAGAAATGAGGACAGGGATGGGGACAGACCAGGACAGGGATCAAACATGCAACAGAAGAGAGATGTGTCAGGAAGGCTAGTGGAATTTTAGGGGTACTGGGGTGGTAGGGGCCAGGAAGGGGAAGAGGAAGAGGGGGGCACCCCAGGGGGAGCATGGCCTGACCCCTCCCTCCCTGAGGCAGGGGTAAGGGATGGGGGCGAGATGGGGTGGGCAGGATTCCCATACTTAGCTCTTCAACTGGGAGGATGATGTCCCTAGCACCCCTCATGGTAGGGGGAAGGGGAGGGGTTGGCCATGTGGGGAGGGGAGGGGCTGGGAGAAATGGGGGAGGGGCTAGCCCTCCCCCGACCCAGGGCCCAGACACCCACCTCTTCCACCTTCTGGGGAGAGAGGGGCACAGGGTCAGAGGTGGGCCCGGGGAAGATCCCATCCCTCCCACCTGCCAAGGGGGCCCCAAAGCAGCAGCACAAGGACAGGCAGGGGGCAGAGCCCCCCCCATGGTGAGGGGGACAGGGCCCCCAGGCATGGAGCAGGGGGGCATTGGGGTGGGGGCACCAGGAGCAGCACAAGGACAGGCAGGGGGCAGGGCCCCCCACAGTGAGGAGCACAAGGCCTCTGGGCACAGAGCAGGGGGCATTGGGAGGGGACACTAGGAGCAGAGCGAGGCTGCGGGGTTTGGGCTGAAGAGAGGAGGGGAAGGGGGGAAAAGAAAAGGAGAAGGGGCGAGGGGCAGAGAGCCTGGCCAGAGAGGAGGGAGAGCAAAGTGGGGGGCCAGGACAGGGGAGGGGGAAATGATGAAGATGGGAGAGCAGAAAGACAGCAGCTGGCAGTGAGGAGGAGGAAGATGGCAAGGGGCAGGCAGGTGCAAACGCAGAGGCAACACCCACACACCCTCCTTGATAAGCAGATAAACCCTCCCAGCTTTGGTCCAGGTACCTCTCCGTGTCAGCACCCTCTTCTGTGCTGTCCAGGGGTACTAGGGGCTCCAGGCTTGTTAGGCCCTGCTGGGGAAGGTCGCCCACCTCTTGGGGGCTGTCGACACCTGCAGGGCGGAGGAGAGGGGCAAGAGCTGGTCAGAGCCCTGCCTCTTGCTCTGCAGGCCCTGGTCCTGGCAGCAGAGCCCTCACCCATCCAGACTGCAACCCCATGGCAGCAGAGAGGAGCTGGGACTAACCCTACTAAGAGAAGAGTGGGGGGGCCCAGAGAGGGAATTGAGTGCTCAGATGACACAGCAGCAGGGCTGGGACTTGAACCTGGGCCTAGTCTCACTCCCTCCTGCTGAGGGTTGCTTGGCCCTAAGGAGCTGGGAAGTGGGTGGGGCTGGCGGTTCATGATCTAAGCACCCTGGGGTGCTGAGGCTGGAGGGAGGGAAGCAGGGGGTAAGGTGTCAGCAGTGGTGTCTGCTGCCTTGTCCCAGGGACGCACCTGGCTCGCGGTCCGGACTGTCCCCAGGGATGGGGTGCAGAGGGACTCCAAGGGTGTCCTGGCTGGAAGTCCCAGCATTGCGGTCCCGAGAGGGCACCCCTAGGCCTCCCTTCCGATCCATGGGGCCTGGTTTCTCCCCTGGGGGAAGAGTAGCAGCTACAGTCACAGCCCCCAGAGACCCCAGATGTTGACCGCACCACCAGGCCCTGGAACACCATGGCCAGTTCCCTCCTCCTCAGAACCAGGGTCCGCTCCCCACTAGCCCTGGACACCTGTATTACCGTCCACCTCGCCTTTGGGATGTCGCAAGTCTGGAGCTGAAAGGGAAAAGGGGGACAGTGAGGGAGTGGCCTGGGATGAGTGGTGCAGATGGCGGGGTGGGCAGAAGTAGGGGTCATCTCACCCTGGGGTTCACCCCGGTTCCAACGGGCAGCATCCAGGATGCTGCTCAGCCCTTTCTTGGTCTTGGGGGGCTCGTCGGACCGCCGGTTCCCCATCATCTGCGGGAAGACGGAGGTGGGGTGGCATCTTGGGTGAGATGCCAAGTGTTTTCACCCACAGCCCACGGGCTCCTTGTGAGCATGGGGTCTCTTGGAGAAAAAGGGCTGGGTACCTTTTTCCGGAAGAAGTTCCTCCCTGACTTCTTGTCCCCGCTCTTGGTCCTCACCCCAAGGTGACGCATGTACAGGCTGATGGCGCCCACCACAGCAGCGCTGCGGGGAGGGGACTCTGAGGGTCCTGCATGCAGCCCGCAGGCTCCACAGGTCCAGGCCAGCCTTCCCTCCCGACCCACAGCCACTTCTTGTGGCTCCAAGGGAAGAGGAGGACACGATGTGGCCCACAGCGTCTCTGCTTCCCTCACCTGCGCTCCTCATCCACGGAGATGGTGTGCCTGCAGGGACAAGGGACAAGGCACAAGTCTGTAACAAATTCCAGGGTCCCTCCACCCAGCACGCATCTGCAGGCTGCTGTCCCCTGGGGAGGACCAGGGGAGGCTGAGGGAGGAGGCTCTCCATCTGGGACTATGGGTAGGACCTGGAAACTGCAAGGGAACCCCAAAGCCAGAGAGGAAGAACTCTTGGCCAGGGCTGGGGGTGGGAGGCAGGAGTACTCACTGCATCTCCTCTAGGTGGGCCAGCAGCCGCTCAGCCACATGCCGCTCCCGGGCCACGTAGTTGGTGCGGTCCCGCCCCACCCAGGCCTCCAGCTGGCCCAGCTCCTGTTCCCAAGGCGTCATGCCCATGAGCCGCTTGGAGCGGAAGTCCTCTAGCTGCCGGCTCACTGCTGCCTGCTGGCTCTGTACCACCTCCTGCACGATGCGCCTTTGGACATCTTCGGAGAAGAGATCAGGCCGCGTGCGATCTGCAGGCACACAGGAGGGGCTGGGACCAAAGCGTTCCCCCACCCTCACCCTGGGGAGTCCCCTCTTCTTCCTCTTACCAAGTTCAAAAGCCACATGGGGAGGGACCTGTACCCGTAGGGCCTGCACAGGAGAAAAGCGGTGACACAGGGGTGATATGGGAGTTACAGCGGTGCAGCCCTGGCAGGCAGGGACACCTTCTCCATGCCCTAGGTGGGTGGAGGCTGCAAGGGGCAGGGTGACTGTCCCGGGTCGAGCAGGAGTGGGGCAGTCCAGGGCTGCTGGAGGATACTCTCACCGCAGTCTTGTCCAGGAAGCTGTGGCAGAAGTCCAGGAAGGCCTTCTTGGCCTCTTTGGGCCCCAGGGCGCCCAGCATGTCAGCGTGCAGGCAGCAGAGCTGGGGGAGACAGAGGGAATGACATCCAGCCCTCGTCACTCTCACTTCCAGTCACTTTCCTGCTATGCAAAGCCTAAGGGGGCTTCTCAGCGACCCCCACCTCCCAGCTGGCTTCTCATGAAGCAGCCTGTTCAGAGGTAGCCCCGGGCCCACTTCACAGCTACTAAGTGGCAAAGTGAGACTGGAATTTGGAGGCCTCTGCCATGCACTGGGGAACTTTTGCATGGAGCATTCTGCATCTGGCTGGGCTGATGCTCCTGGCCAGTGCCAGCCTGGTCTACCCCGTCATGCCCTTACCAGGGGTCCTGGCTCGAACTGCAGGGCCACGTGCTGCAGGAGCGCCATCAAGTGGGCTGGGCGCTGCTTCACCTGCTCCAGGCTCTGGAACTGGCTGTTGTGCTCCTCTGCGTTCTGGGTGAGGGGAGAGTCAAGAACAGCAGGGTGGAGGGAGCACTCCCTGGCTCATCTCTACCCCTTCCTGGTACCTTGCACTGCCCCCTAAGCTGGAGGAGAGGCTGCAGCAGGTGGGCAGGGGTGACAAGAATCAGGAGAGAGAAGGACTGGGGCAGAAGGCTGTGGTTGACCAGCTGCAGTGGGGTCCCTGAGGATGGTGTGGGAGATGAGGAAGGAGGTACCAGGAAGAGGTGAGGAGGAAGAAGCTGCCTCCCCACCCCAGGCCTGGGACGGAAGTGTCACCCCCACCCACCTCCTGCCCGCTTACCGTCTCTAGTTCATTCTCAAAGTCCTCGTCCTCAGCCCCGATGATGCTGACGGGCACCAGGCCAGGCCGGGGGGGCCCCGGGGTCTGCGGGAGAGGACGAGGGATGGGCTCAGCCACCTCCCGCCCAGTGCTCCTTTCTTGGCTGCCGGAGGTCCCTCCCCCTGGGGCAGCCCACTCACCGCCGCCCGGGCCACGTCCTCCAGCTCCATGGGCGCCGCAGGGCTGTGGGGGGAAGGGGAACGGGTAGGGGGCGCTGGGTGAGGGTGCGGGATTGGGGGGGGGCGCTGGGTGAGGGTGCGGGATAGCCAAGGCTTGCAGACTACTCAGGGATTCCTGGCCCAGGTGAGAAGGTGAGTAAACAGCCGCCAGCAGCTCAATGGGGCCTCTGTGTGGCCACAAAAGGGCCCTTCAGAGGCCAGCAGGGCGGGGAGCCAGGGCCACGGCAAGCTGGGCTGGGAACAGCTTTAGGTCCCCAGAAGAGGCAGGCTACAGAGGGGACCTGCCAGGAGGCACGGAGAGGGAGGGCCTGGAGGGGGAAGAAACGGGGTAGAGGGGAGGGGGTGCTCCCCGCTCTGTGACAGCCCGGGGTCAGGATGTTGCCTCCGAACCCACCAGCCCCACTTCCTGTCACAGGAAGTCACGATGGCAAACCCCCAACCCCCAACCCAGAAGAAATGAAACTGGGCCCTCCTCCCTCAGGGAGCCCCCCATCCAGAGGCTCTTCTTCCTCTCCTGAACCTCCTATGGGACCCACATCCCAGGCTGGAAAAACAAGGGCCGGTTCTCTGACAGCGCCCTGGGGGGGGCGCGGGGTTCTGAATCCTGCACCCCACCTGTCCCTGCCATCACCCTCAAATCTGTCTCTAGTCTCGCCTCTTTTCCCCATCTCCTCAACCTCGGCCATCTCCCCTGATGTCATGGCCACCCCCACCCCATGAGCCCCACAGTGCCCATCTGTTTGTGTCCCCTCCAGTTCCTCTCCTGCTAATCTGAGTGACACCAATGCCCCAGGAAGCTGTGGCAGGTGCAAAGGCGCTGTGGAAAGAGGGTTGGGGTGGCTGTGAGCTATTTATAACTGCGACCCACTCCTCTCCCAGCCTTCCTTGGGCACGCCTCCTCCCTACTACTTTGATCCCCACCGAGGAACAACAATGACGTGGCGGCTGGAGCGCCCAATTGCCTTCCTGCGGTTCCACCCCACCCGCGTGGGCATCATTTTCAGCCCTTCCCAGGAAGTGGATGTGTCCATGGAAAGCTGGGCTAATTCAAGAGCTGAGCGAGACGGCAGACGTTTCAAAGCCAGGAAGGAAACAAAGTTTCACTCATTTTGGGGGGCCACAGCCACAGCAGGAAGCACCCCTGGCTGTTCTGTTTCCAACCTGCCCCGACCCCATGAGGGAGATGGAAAATAGGACCTTGGGGGTCCTTGCTTGCTCCTCTCACCGTCTCTAGGAGCAGGGACACACTCCTGGAGCAAATGCAACAGTGTGTTGCAACAGTAGCCAGCAGGCACAGCACCAAGTACACAGCAGGGACAGGTACCTACCCAGGGACATCCACTAGGTCAGCTCCACAGGGGGAACTGAAGCACAGCTCAGAAAGCACGGGGACAGGATACATCAAAGACCACCTATCCCTACCTCCCACCCCTGGACGCCAAAATCCGACCCAGAGCTGGGAGTCCCATGAGGGCCTCGCCACAACGTGGGCAGCTAAGTGGAGGCTGTGGTCCTCACGGGCAGGGCAGGAGCTAGGAGCAGACTGGACGCTAGATGCTGGAGGGGAGGGTGCACGGGGTGGGGAAGCTGTACTGACCGCTGCCCAGCAGGGCCTGCGACCCAGCAGAGGGAGCCCTGGGTGCCAAGGCCGGGATGACAGCTCCACGGGGGTAGGAGCTCCGTGCAGCCCCGGCAGGTGTCAAGCGGACGACCCCGAGGCTGCCGACAACCAGGTGCATGCAAGCCAAATGGAGCCTGTCCAAATGTCAAGTTAAGTAAATAGCTCCACATTCCACTTGACACCCAGGGGGCGGAGGGGGAGGATCCGAGGGCCAGGATTTCTTAGGGAAACCGGCCGGCTTTGGAGACCCTTGGGGACTTAAAAGGGGCTCAGACTCATATAGGAATAAGTGTTGGGTCCTGAGACGCAGCCCACAGTCCCCTCCTCGACTCAAGAGGGTGATACGGACGTACAGGGACTCCCTAGGTCCTTCAGAAGCGGGCCTCGAGCCAGAACCTCGTGATCTATAGAGGAGACGTGCACAGGGTCCACGACACCAGCCCCAAATCTTTCACGGGACGTGGCGAGTCTGAACAGGGGCCTTCCATCCTCCAGGGGACGTGGCGGAGTGCACGGACCGGGCATGCTGGGCTGGGCCACCCTCAGAGGACCACGTCTCTCACCTGGCTCGGGGTTGGGAAGATAAAGCCGCCGCCGCTGCTGGAACCCAAAGCTGCGCGCGCTGGCACCGCGATCCCCCTCCCACCTCACCCCCGCCGCCCCAGTCGCTCTAGCCGGCCCACAGGCTCCCTCGCCGCGCCAGCTCCACTCCTCCCGCCGGCCGCTCTAGCCAGCCTCCTGCTAGTCTCTGGCCTCGGCGACTCGACTCCTCCTCGCCGGCCACTCTAGCGCTCCATCGCGCCACGCTGGCCCGATAGGGCCGCTCTGGCCTACCTAGGAGGTCCGGGGTTTCCGCATCTCTACTCTTCTGATCGGCTGAAGCCCCGCCCCCCCACACGCCGCGGGGCGGAGCCTGTGGGCGCGACCCCGCCCTCCTCGAGCCCAGGTTCTGGGGGGTCGGGGTGCTCCCCGCCAACTCGGGGACCGACTCCCCGATTCCACGTACATCTCGTAGCCCGGATCCCCCCGCGACGCCTCCTGGGACCGGCAGCGTGAGCTGCCAGGGGCCAGCGCTTCTCCCCAGGGCCTCAGTCTTTCCGTCTTTGCAATGGGGGAGACGGGGAAAGTTCTCTCCGGCTTGCTCCCCTATTTCCCCCCATCTCCTGGGGCGGAGGAGTTGGTGAGGGGGAATTCACGAATGACCCAGAAAAAAACTTTTCCAAAATCCACCCTCCAGGGCGCTCGGCCCCTTGGGGCTTCTCGGCGCCGTTCTCTCGGGCTTGCCTCTCTGAGGTGGCGTGAGTGTTCGGGAGTTCAAATCCCAGCTTCACTCGGTCTCTCCCGCAGAGCTGTCCCCTACCCCGGGGATGGGGAGACCAGGCGGCTGGGTCCCAGGGAGTCGGAATCCCCACCTTTCCAACTGGGAGGTGCCCCGGGGCCGTGAGGAGGCCCTTACAAGGACCCGGCCTGGCCTCAGGGGTCCCTGGACGAGCGCGCGTCTCCTCTCGGCCCCCTTTCACAGATGGCAACACTGAGGCCGAGGAGGTGTGGGGAGGGGGCGGCTGCGGGCTCCGCCGGGCTCCCTCAGCCCTTCGGCGGGCGGGCGGGCACGCGACGGCCGGCCTCCTTCCCCGGCCCTTCCCTCCCGGCCTGCCGCCCAGGGAGGGGCCGGGCGCGGCCGCAGTCGGTACCTGAGTCCGCGCGCGGCGGCGGCGGCGGCGGCGCCCGAGGTCGGGTCGGGCACGGCGATCCCGGGGCCTGCGTCCCGGCTCCCGCTTCCTGGCTGCGGCGGGGCAGGAAGTCGGGGCGTTTTCCCGGAGCCCCTCCCCGCTTCCTGCCCGCGCCCCGCGCCCGCCCGCCGCACCTCCGCTTCCTTCCCCTTCTCGCCGCCCGCAGCCGGCGCGGCCCGCCCCGCTCCCGCCCCCCGGCCGGGCCCCCACCCCGACCCCGCCTCTGCCCCCCGGGCCCGGGCTCCGCTTTGTCCGCCGCCGTCACCCCTGAGGCTTGGGCGGCTCCGCGCTGCTGGCTGGAGGGGCCGTGCGCCTCCGTGCGCCCCCGTGCGCCCCCGTGCGCCCCCGTGCGCCCTGGCTGGACGGCCTGCCCCGCGTGGGGGTCCCCGTCCCCAGGGCTCGCCCCCTTGCTGGGGGGCCCTGCCAGGCTGTCCACCTCCGCCCCTGGCCCCTCCCCACCTGCCGGCGCCCCCTCCTGCTCCCTCTCCCTGGTTTTGGTCGTGACCATCTCTCTGGCCATCAGTCTCCTCTCCCTGTCCCAGCCACCCTGTCATCGCTCCTGGGTCCCCCTCCCACCATCCACGTCAGGACCCCAGGCCCGTGTGTGAATGTCCCAGACAAGGAAGGTGACGTTTCCCAGCTCGGGGACTTCAGCACCAGCCCCATCGGGATATAGGCCCTGCTGGGGCCGGGCCGTCTGCCTCTCCAGAGTTTAAATGGGCAACAGTCATTAAGGGTGCTCGGACTCCGGGGGTGGGAGCGATGGACCTGCCTGGTCCCAAGGGTGTCCTGGGGCTGGGGGAGGAGAGTGCTGGACTGCCGAGATTCACGACTGCCTCTGAGGTGTGCCAGTGGGACGGATTTATTATCGCTAAGTGGCCCTGTCGGAGTGGGGAGGGGGTGGGGTGACGCTAACGAGGCTGCGGGGATAGCTCCCCTAAGAGGCAGCGATTAAGGGCTCATTACCCGCCGGGGGAGGGAGCCTGAGCGGATGGGAGAGACGGAGGGGGAGGCCTGGAGAGAAGCAGACGGAACGGGACGCTGCGGTGACTCAAGGAACTTCCCAGAAAAAAACCCAAGGGAGAGTGTGGAGTGTGCGGCGCTGCGGAGGGGGCGGCGCAGGGCGCGGGGGACGCAGCGCCGTCACGGCTTCTCCAGCTGCACGTCTCCGATGTCGAGGCTGCCCACGTCCTGGTAGGTGCCCTGGAGGCCCCGCGAGATGTCCTCGTACATGGAGCAGTCGTCGAGGTTCAGGCCCTGGGGACATGGAGCAGGGGGGTGTCAGCACCGTGTGCTGGGGTTGGACACCCTGGGAGAAGCCTCAGGCAAACCGCCAAGGACCAACCCCTCCAACTCACTTCGTAAAGGTTTTCGTCCTCGTAGTCATCCTGGGCGTCCACTGCGAATTTCTCGTTCTGCCACCGCTTCTGCAGGGGAGAAGGGAGAGCGAGATTGCTTTTCACAGATGGCCACGTGCCGGGGTGGTTGCTGTCCAACGACAGCCCTGGGGGTGGGGGCAGTGTGGCTAAGGAGGGGCAGGTGAATGGATTGCAAGAGCTGGGAAGATACCAGCTCCACCTTCTAACTTAGTTGAAAGGCAGAGAGAGGCAGAGAGATTCCTTCTACTGGTTCACTCCCCAAATGGCTGCAACAACCAGGAGTGTGGAGCTCCATCCGGGTCGGTGGCAGGGACCCAAGCACTTAAGCCATCCTCCTCTGCCTCCTGGGGCACGTTAGCAGGAAGCAGGACCAAGCAGGTGCTCTGATGTAGGATGTGAGTATAGCAAGTGGAGGTTGAACCTGCAGCCCCACCTTGCTCTTAGCTGGAGGGTGGCTGCACTCCTGGGTCAGGGGAGATGACGGGGTGGAGGCAGGGGGAGTGTATGCTGGTGTATGTCCTGGGCCCAGCACCATTCAGTCTTTTGTGGTATGAATTCATGTGGGCCCCTGGAACTGTGCGTTTTTGGGTGGGGTCTTGGGCAAACCACCAGGACTCCTGGGCCTAGAGGAGCAGTCCGTGCCTGACTGGCAGGGTAGGGGGTCCCCTGGGGGGCTCACCCTGAACAGCAGCAGCGTCCCGGGCACCACAGCACAGAACAGCAGGATGATGCCCTCGGCGGTGATGATGCGGTTCTTGGTGCCTTCTGCCATGTCCAGGAAGGGTCTAGGGGGTGGTTCTGTGAGGAGGGCGTGGGGCTTCCGCTTAGGTTCCCCCACCTCCCCTCTGTCTGCCTGGGGGAGGGTCTGTTCTGGGCTGAGCAGCCTCCCAGGCTGTGGCCAACAGGGGCCCTGGATGTGTGCTTGCCTCCCAGTGCCCACCGCGGCAGGGGAGCCCCGGGTCAGGTGCTGCTTACCACGTACACGGAGGTAGGTACCGAAGGATTGCTTCTCCCTCTTCTCGTCCTTCACTTTGCACCGGTACATGCCACTGTGATCCTTGCCCACCTTGTGGATGACCCAGTCACTGTCATTGTTGCTTTTCCAGCCCAAGGGCTGTGGGGGCCATAAGGTGTTGCCGGGCAGGATGTGAAACCATGTGACGTTGGCGTCCTTGCTGCCGTTGTTATTGCAGGGGAGGCGGGCCTCCTCCCCGAGGTAGACAGTTATGGATGGAGGACCCTCGTGCACCCACAGCTCATGGCACTCAGGGCCTGCATGGGGGGAGGAGGGAGCAGTCAGTTGGGGGTTGCTGATAACACTGTCCTAGTCTCTGCCCTTCCCTGGAGTGCAGGGCCTGAGAAAGGACACAGATGTCCCCAGCAAGAGTGGGGAAGGGAACGGCCGGTTGGTGGATGTCTGACCAGACAGCCCCTGCAGGGTCAGCTGCCTGGTCCTGGTCCTCTCTGCAGGAAGGCCCTCTCCCTCTGTCCTTGTGACAGCTGGACCCTTCATTTGATCTTGGGTCATCACCCAACCTTAGAGGCAGGTTCTCTGTTGAGCCCCACTTTGACTGAGGTCCCCCAGGTCAGGCAGGATGCCTGGCCTCACCTAGGCCTCTGTGAAGTAGGGGGCATTCCTGGCTCTCTGGACCCTCCTTGCCATGGCCTTGATCTGACCCTCATCCTCTGGAGCTTGTGTGTGCACCCAGGGGTCAAGCTGGGAGTCAGGGGAGGGGGTTTCGTCAGGTGGAGACTGGGGCATCACAGAGGGAATGAGATGGGATGTGCAGTGGTCGCTGCTCCAGGCCAGTCCCCATGGGCTGAGGAAGAGGAGCTGGGGAAGAGGAGGAGGTGGGGAAAGGCCCTGCGACTGACTTCCCGGGTCATGGGGCTTTTGACTCACCCAGATGTGAGCTCCAGGGCCCTCCTGGAGTCACGGGAGTGGGGGAGGGAGGTTAGATGGGGTGTGGTGGGGCTGGCCACCCTCTGCCCTGGGTTCCTCCATCAAGAGTGGCCACAGCCTGTGCTGGCCGGCCATCAGCTCGGGTGTGGTGAAGAGAAAGGGGGAGGAGAGAGAGGCCCTGGCTTCTCTACAGGGGGGCGGCTTTCCTCCCCTCCCCCCAGGGCCCCTTCCTGCCCAGCCTGTGCTCTGTCAAGGGCGACCTCAGAAGTTCCTTATTTTGACCTGTGTGGCTGTCTCTCTGTGGCAGCGGTGCTGTGGGCGCCCTGAGCTGCCGCGGCCTCACCCTGGCTGGCTCAGGAACGCGGCCCCTGTGTCTAGGACGTTGCATGCAGTAACAGGCCTGGACTGCTGCAGGTGCATTGCTCAGCTGCCCATCCTCCTCCTCCCGCCCCCTGCCCCAACCTCCACTCACCCATCCACCCCACCCACCCACACACCCGGTACCCGCATCTTGGCCCTAGGTCACGTACCCAGGCAGGCCAGGGACAACAGGAAGAGGCCAAAGAAAGGGGCAGGCAGGCCTCGGTGGACATGGGGACCCCCAGGCATCTTCTCCCAGCGCGTTGGTTGGTGTGAGCGGCAGCAGTCCTGGAGCATCAGATCCCACGCCAAGCCCCTCCCTGCTTCCGGCCCAGCCCTGCGGAGATGGGCTCTGTTGACCCTGTGCTGGGCTCCTGGTCGTGAAAGGGGAGGAACCGTTCCCTGCTGCACCTGTGGCGGCCGCAATTCCCCCAGGGGTAGCTGCCTGGGCGGGGTGGGGCTGCTCACAGCCTGTCCGGAGGTGAGCTAGAGGGAGCCATGGGGCCTGGGTGGTGCTGCCCCTGGGCCTCTGGCCCTCCATGGCCATGGCAAACTTGAGTGTCCCAAGAGGAGATAAAGGGGCCACGCGGGCAGAGCACTAGGCACAGGGCTTGCCCCAGAGGTTAAGCAGGTGGCCCTCGGCAGACTGCAGGCCTCCCTCCCATCCAGGCCCTGGCATTTAAAAGATCCATTAGAAGGACAGTAAGGTGGGCGTGATCTCCCACACACCGGTTCACTCCCTGGACAGCTGAAGCCAGGAGCTTGGAACTACGCAGGCCCCTCTCGTGCATGTTGGGGCCCAAGGATTTGAGCCAGTGGAATGAAAATTGCACTCTGTGTCTCTTTTTGTCAAGTAAGTCTAGATAAAAACAAATATAAAAATTTACATATAAAACAACATGGCTGGTGATGTCTTATTCCATATCCAAGAAACTGGATTTGAGCCCTGCCTCCAATCTCCTGCTACTACGTGCACATGTCAGTTTTTTCTTTTAAAGGTTTATTTTTATTGGAAAGTTAGATATACAGAGATGAGGAGAGAGAGAGAGAGGAAGATCTTCTGTCTGTTGATTCACTCCCCAAGCTGTCAAAAGTGCTGCGCAGATCTGAAGCCAGGAGCCAGGAGCCTCTTCCAGGTCTCCCACAAGGGGGCAGGGTCCCAGAGCTTTGGGCCATTCTCTATTGCTTTCCCAGGCCACAAGCTGGGATGCTGGGATTAGAACTGGTGCCCATGTGGGATCCCTGCACGTGCAAGGTGAGGACTTTAGCCGCTAGGGGACTGTGCTGGGCCTGACAGATGACAATTTTAGCATTAGCATCCCTGCTACCCACATGGAAAACCCATGTGGGGGCCGACACAGTGGCTCAACTGGCTAATCCTCTGCCTGCTAGTGCTGGCATCCAATTTGGCTGCTCTACTTCCCATCCAGCTCTGTTTGTGGCCTGGGAAAGCAGCAGAGGATGACCCAAGGCCTTGGGACCCTGCACCTGTTTGGGTGGGAGACCCAGAAGGAGCTCCCGGGTTTGGATCAGCTCAGCTCCAGGTGTGGCAGACATTTGGGGAGGCAGCCAGCAGATGGAAGATCTTTTTCTCTGTAGGCCTGACTTTTCAACAGAAATAAAGCTTACACTTGATCTTAGCCAAAAGCAATCAACAAAAATAAATCTTAAAAAAACAAAGGGCTATCACTTCTTGGCCTTTTGGCTAAGATCAAGTGCAAAAACAAAGGGCTGGGCCTGGTGCAGTAGTCTAGCAGCTAAGGTCCCGTCTTGTACACGGCGGGATCCTATATGGGCCAGCTTCCTATCAGGCTCCTTGCTTGTGGCCTGGGAAAACAGTGAGGCCGGCCCAAAGCCTTGGGATCCTATACCCGTGTGGGAGACATGGAGGAAGTTCTTGGCTCCTGGCTTCAGACTGACTCAGCTCCAGCCATTGTAGCTGCTTCGGGAGTGAACTAGTGGATGGAATTCTTCTCTCTGTATATCTGACTTCGTAATAAAAACAAATAAATCTTTAGAAAAAAAAAACTCAAGGTTCACAGCAGGGAGGTTTTTCTTCCTAAAGATTTATTTGAAAGGCAGAGTGAGATCATCTGTCTTGTGGCTCACTCCTCAGTGGCTGTGAGGACGGGAGCCTGGAACACACGTGGGCCATTCTCCAATGCTTTCCCAGCACTAGCAGGGAGCTCGGTGGCAGTTGGCACAGTGATAACCCAAGGGCCAGCATTGTAGCATTGTGGGCTATGCTGCTGCCTGTGGTGCTGGCATCTCGTGTGGGCACCGGCTACTCCACTCTTGACCCGGCTTCCTGGGAAAAGCAGCACATGGCAGCCTGTCGATACCCCTGCCCCCGTTGGGGAGACCTGCTCTGGCCTGGGCTATTGTGGCCGTTGGGATGGTGAACCAGCAGATGAAAGACCTCTTTCCCTCACTGCCTTTTTTTTTTTATTCCTCTTTTTTTCCCTTTTGACCTGGTTCTCCCCCATCCTCCATCTTGTCAAGTTCCCCAGCAGTCCCCAATCCTGCCACCATGCAGGAAATGTCTCCCTTCCTGCTCCCCCTAACACCCACTCCCATTACATTAAAAAAAAGGTTTTTCTTTTTATTGCAACGTCAGATATAGAGATTAAGATTTTCTGTCCGATGATTCACTCCCCAAGTGACTGCAACGGCCAGTGCTGTGCCAATCTGAAGCCAGGAACCTCCTCCAGGCCTCCCATGTGGGTGCAGGGTCCCAAGGCTTTGAGCTGTCCCTGACTGCCCTTCTAGGCCACAAGCAGGGAGCTGGATGGGATGTGGGGCTGCTGGGATTAGAACCGGCGCCCATATGGGATTCCGGTGCGTTCAAAGTGAGGATTTTAGCCGCTAGGCCACCGCACTGGGCCGTTTCTTTGTTCCTTGTAAGAATTTTGAGAGATCACCCACTGGTCAGAGCAAGGATGGTCCAAGCTGGGAGGCAGGAGCTTCCTCCAGGTCTCCCACGTTGGCGCAGGAACCCAACCACTTGGACCATCCTCTGCTTTTCCATGCTGTAAGCAGGGAGCCGAGACATGAACTACCAATATGCAATGCCAGTGCTGCAGGAATTATTGCCTCTCAAAAAATAAAGGGGAGGTGGGCTGGCACTTGACCAAAGCTCCCATGAGGTGCCAGCTCAGCTGGGATACACCACAAGGGCTCCCTGGCAGTTACATGATGGTCCTGTGGGGTGTACATTTGGCTGCTGCACACGCAGGGCCCCAGGGAAGGGTGTACCCAGGGCCTGCTTCCCAAGCTGGGCCAGGGTACTATGGCGAGTCCAGCCTGCCCATCTGAGCAGTGTTCCTAACAGACTGCAGTTGAACCTGGTCTTATTTCCCAGCTCAGGCCTGGACCCACACCAGCTGCCTGGTCTTGAGTCTGCAGCTGTGCCCTTTCCCAGGTCTGACTGCCCCCCAGTGGCTGCAGGAAGGGCCAGCCTGCACTCCCAGCTTGCTGGGCAGTCCTAGGCACTGAACTTTCCTTTAGGAGGCAAATCAAATGCAGTTGGGAGGACCCACCCCACCTCCAAGCTGGAGGGAGGACCCACCCACACCCCCAAGCAGGCTCTTCTCATTGACCAGCTGCCCCCCCCCCCCGCCCCGTGCTGTCCAGAACTCTACCTGGAGTAAGCCTAGTATTGTCAGTTAGGAATTAGCTGTCACCAGCAGGGATCAGAATTCCCTCAAGGTGCGGGGAGCCCGGGCAGGGCCATTCCCCACAGGCACAGGCATCCCTGATGAGGGCGCATGCAGGGCCAGCACTGTAACTGGATGCAGGGGAGACACGGGCCCTGCCCACGCTGCTGCTAGTGCCAAGGCTGGGCCTCAAGACTACCCACACCACAGCCATCAGCACCCACACCCCATCACAAAGGGGCAGTGCCCCAAAGAGTAGACAATCAACAGCCAGACCAGCATTACGAATGAGGCAATTTATTAACCCAGCATGTTTGTTCTAATGTTTCTTGTTGGCAGCTGCCACCTGTGGGAGAAGAGACAAGGTCAGGGGTGGGGTCCATTCTGGGGGAGCACTTCCTACAGCCCCCCGCCCCGTGCAGGTTATCTCCCTTCCAGACTGGCACACTGGGGAGTCCTTGAGGGAGCAGCAGGCATGGAGAGGCACAGCAGCTAGGCTCAGTCCTCCCTGACCGCGCCCACCCCTGCACAAGGAGACCGAGCAGAGCTGGGCTCTGGCAGTGCTTTGGTGGAGCCCGCGGGCGCCTTACCTGTCCGGCGATTCTGTCCAGATCTCTCTGTCCCTGAGGTGTCAATTTGCGGCCCCTGTGGGGGTGTACCGAGGTGAGCACCTGTTCCTAGTCCCCCTCCCTCCAAGGACCAGGCTGCCCAAGCACCAGCTGACACCAGCCAAGGACCATGCAGGCCCCTTGAGAACTGACCACGTCACTTGCACAAGCATTAGCTCAAAAGCTGTGAAGAAAACCAACTGGGAAAAGCTAATGAAAGCAGTCACTGTGCTACCTTCCTGGGAACAGGGCAGTGGCCCCACCCCACCCGGGAGGACAGGCCAGGCCTCCCAGCTTACCCATCCTGGTCCTTTTCCACCATCTTCAGCCCCTCGAGGGCTTGCAGGACCCTGCGGGCCACACTCTTGGAGCCTCGGCTGAAGTGGCTGGGCATGACGCCGTTCCTCTGCCGGCCCCCGTAGATCTTGGTCATGGAGCCGACTCCAGCGCCGCCCCGGAGGTACAGGTGCCGGGCTGTGGAAGCTGGGGGTGGGGGAGCACGTGAGGAGCCTTGGCAGGCAGGCTCTGCGCACCTGCAGCACGGCGCTCATCCAGGGCCACCTGCGCCATTCACACTCCCTGTGTCCAGTCTGAGTGCTCACGTCCTGCCCCTGCTGGGATGGGCAGCAAGGAGCCCCACTGGGGACACAGGCTATCTACCTGTCCTGGTCCGCTCTGGCCCGCTCCTTGTACAGTGTTGGTGCTGCACTCATCCTGCCCCCAGTCAGGTGGGCAAACAGGGCGATGCTGTAGGAAACGGCCAGCAGCTTGGATGCAGGAGGCACCTCAGATCGCTCCATGTACCTGCCTGGACTCCAGGGCCCAGATCAGCAGGAGGCCTCACAGTGGAGCCCTGTAAGGACTGTTTAGCAATCAGAGGCAGGCCAGCAGGGACAGGGTTGCTGTGCTAAAGACAACCAACCCACCGACAGCATTCCATAGGGTGTGTTGGGTGTGTTGCTTTGGGTCCCAGCTGATCCACTTTCTTTTTAAGGCTACCCTTATTTTTTAAACAACGCAGATTTACAGATAAAGAAAATACAAAGATCTGTCCACTGGTTCACACCCCAAGTAGCTGCAATAACCAGAGTTGAGATTATCCGAAGCCAGGAGCCTCCTTTGTGTCTCCCATGCAGGTGCAGGGTCCCAAGGCTTTGGGGCCAGCCTCTACTGCTGTCCCAGGCCACAGGCAGGAAGCTGGATAGAAGTGGAGCTGCCACAACAAGAACTGGTGCCCATATGGGATCCTGGTGCATTCAATGTGAGAATTTAGCCACTGCAATGGGCCCAGATGATCCACTTACAATCCAGCTACTGGCTGGGAATGCAGGAGCATGCCTAGCACTGGGCCCCTGCCACTGCCACTGCCAGGACCCAGATGAAGCTGCTGACCTCAGCACTGCCGCTGGAGCTTCCGGGGGGTGTGAACCATGGCTGGAAAAGCTCTGTCATATTCTAAAAATGAAATCAAACTCAAAAACACAATGCTAGTTCAAAAGCTTCCAAAGTTCATCTTAGTGCAGATCAGTGAAATCCATGCATTGTCCACATGGAAATGCACTCCGCCATCCTGTTCCAATGCCAGACCCAGGAAAGCAGGATGGCCCCCCAAGGCCCAGACACACAGAGGAACGGCCCAAGCCCTGGGCGGTCCCAGGAGGGGTGTGTGCACGGCACGGGGGCACCTGAACCTCAGCACTGCCCATCCTTTGGGTGACCCAGTCAAGACCATTAGTGTGCCCGACCTGTCCTAAAACCTTTAGCGGGCAAAGTGCTCCCAGCCTGGGGCCACTGCCCGGGCAACCCCTCCTGTCTGAGGCAGCCAGCCCAAGCCCTGCATGTGGCCCTTCTGCAGGACCCACAAATCATCAGCTAAAAGCCAGCCTGCTGCCAACTGAACTGCTAGGTGTTTCCTGCGCCTCCATACCCGGTGGGCTGGATGCTCCTGCACCCGGGAGACCAACTAAGGCTGCCGGGGTCACTCCTCGGCTCACTCTGTCACACGGACTCCTACATGGGCCTTCTCAGGATCAGGACAAGGGACCTGTTGCCCAGCGGTCAGCACAACGGAGCAGCAGGTTAGTCCCCTGCAACTAGGACACCCTGCAGGTTCTCGGGTGTCCCAGCTGCACCACTTCCCACCCAGCTCCCTGCTGATGCGCCTTGGGGTGCCATGCAGGAGGTCCTTCTGCCAGTCTAGTCCAGACGGACAGCTATGGTCATTTGGGGAGCAAACAACAAAAGCACTAGCTCCGTTTTGCACCCCGGCGAGGGCCCCACTCCCCACACCCTTTGCAGACCCTGGCTGGATGCAGGGGAACGGGCTGCCAAGCACCCTGCCACGGTGATTTAGGCAGTCATTCTGACAACGGGGAGCAGCCCCTTAGATCCCAGCCTGGGGGTGTTAGACACCTCCTGCCCAGGGACAGCCAGCCAGAGCCCAGGAGGTCAGAGGGGCTTTGGGGCTCTCCAGGAGAGTAAGTGTGCAGCTGGGGCCAGAGGGGACACCTGCGCCCAGGACCCAGGGCCTGCAGGCCGCGGGCACCCCGCCAAGGGACCAGCACCCAGCCCCCTTTCCTCTCTCCCTCCCGGCCTGCTGGTCCACGGGGGTGCACGGCTCCCCGACGCCCGCAGCACTGCCGCCCCCTCCCCTCGCACAGGCCCCAGGCCTCACCCGCTCGCGTGTAGAACCAGTTCTCATCGTAGGGGGCAAGCTCTTTGTGCTTGGCCAGCTTCACCGTGTCTACCCATTCGGGAACTTTGAGCTTCCCGGACCTGGGCCGCGTGGGCAGCAGGGAAAGAGAAGTCAGAAACCGGGGCGCGCTGCACCCCCCCACACTCCCCAGCCTCGCCCATGCCGCAGCCCCCCTCACTCACTTCTTGAGGAAGGCTGCCAGAGCTCTGACGAACTCCTGCTGGTTGACGTCTTTGACGGTAACACCGGGCATCTACGGGGCAAGGTCAGGAGGGATGACCACCTCGCGGCCGCCCGATCCCGCCCGCCCCAGCCCGGCGGCCAGGCACCCCGCGTCGTGCGTCCCCCAGCCGTGCGCCCCGCGTCCCCAAAGCCGCCCGAGCTCCGCACCACGCCGCCCGGGCATGTCCGGGCCCGCCGCTCGCACGTGGCCGCGGCTCCGGGGGGCGGGGCGGCCCGCGCCGACGACCCCGGGACCCGCAGGCGCGCGCTCCCGCCCGCTGGAACCCGGCCCCGGCGGCCCCGCGCCCACCCCGGCCCGGAGCGCCCGCTAACCGTGCGGCCTCCGCGCTGCCAGCCAGGGGAAAGGGAGCGACGGGGTTTCCCGGGCGCACAAGTCGGGCGTAGAATCTCGCGAGAGGCACCAGAGCTCGCGAGAGCAGGGCTAAGGCACGCGGCTCCGCCTCCTTGAGGGCGGAGACGGCTTCGTTTCCGCCGAGGTGGGCGGGCGTGTCGTCACAGAGCGGGAAGGAGAAAGGCCGGGCCGCCTTAGAGGCTTGTTTCCCTTTTGTCTTTCCTGTTACCAGAGACCTAGGGGAACGTGGATGTGTTCGCGACGTCCGTGGCCGGGAGGAGCCGTGGCGGGGAACACTAGAAGGGCGGAAGTGCAGGGGAGGTTGGGTGGGTGGCCGCGGGCGACGTCTCTAGAGGGCTGCTCTCTTTCCGGACGGAAGTGAAACTTCCGTTAGGGCGGAAGTGCTACGGAAACCTATGGGAAGTTGGTGGGGAGGACGACACATGGCCGCCACTGTCTTTCCCTTATAGCCAGTACTCACGCGTCTTACAGCCGGAAGCCCCGCCCTTCTTAGGGCGGAAATGGCTTCGGCAGAGTGAAAGCTACCGCAGTGGGCATTGAGGGCCAGCAGGCGAGGAGGGGTTAAGGGCAGAGACAAAGAGGCAGAGGCGGGGCTTGCGGAGAAGCTCGTCCTCCTGGCCGGCCGGCCGTGTCCACTCAGCTTCTGGCTTTGCCGCGTCCGTTTGGCTGAATGCCCGGCCGGGCTGTGCAGCTGCAGGCAGTCGCTTGCCCTCTCGCAGCCGAAAGCGAGTGCGCGTTACACGTTGCAGCAAGCCTGGTGTGGAATGTTCGCTCTGCCGGGCGCAGGTGCACGCCCATTGGAAGGTTTCTGGTCCTTTAGTCCCCGTGGGGCAGCAATCAAACAACACACAAGGGATACCTTAGGGTCCGATGAAGTGATAACTTGATGCCAAAAAGGAAACACTTAAATGTGTGTAGCAATTTTTTTTTTTTTTGGTGTAGAAAAGTCTTCCTTAAATGAAAAAATTAACAAGTCTGGTTTTATTGAACAACGAAGCCGATGGAATTTTGCTAGGACTACACAGAAATGCTTGTCTGATCTGGCTTAAATTTATAAACATTTACATCCACACACAAATATATGCAAATAGCATTGTCATGAGGATGCAATATAACCCTTTCTGAAAAAGACCATGGAATGAATGAAACCATTTTTTTTCCTTCATATTCCATTCTTTTTTTTTTTTCTTACTTTTTCCATTTTTTAAATTATATTTTTGACAATCTTTACATAGTTAATTAGGGTAAAAAGGTTCAAGGGCTACAGAAAAATGGGTAAGACTATTATGTCCATATTATTCCCTTTATGTATCTGAGGTATCTGAGGTAAATGGGGATTCTAAGGGAGAAGCCCCACCAGTCTCCTACCCACCCCAGGTCCCAGATGTGGGGCATGCTCCGAGGGTCTTCCTCAAGTGGTTTTGATAGTTCAACAGTTATGAATCACTGCCAATCTCGCCACTCCAAGCATGATGAGGTCGTTGAAGAATCCACTGATTGACGTAGTCCATCTTAATGTCTTCATTTGCCCAGTTTTTCACTGCCAACATATAGCTGAGGTGGTTGGTTGACTTGTTCTGTCCTCTGTCTTTTCATGGTTAGGGTTCTGAGTCTGGCAGTTCGATTGGGGGGATCCCCAAAGAAACTTTGTCTGAGGTGTTCCCAGACCAGATTCTTGTATGTACTAGCAAGTACAGGGCCTGGCTCAGTCCATTGCCCCGATCAGCTGCTGCAATTGCTGGGTTGGTTCTGTTTCTTGCCCTGTCTTCCACTGGAACCAATGGGTGTTGCAGTCCAGCCTGGTTCTGCTCAGCACACACTTGGCCGTCACACAAACCAGTGGGAGCTGCAGCCCAGTTGAAGAGACCCCCAATAACCCCCACCAGGCCCGCCCCCTACCCTGGTTTGGCAGTATGTGTAGCAGATTAGTCCAGTCTGTCCCACATCATTGGGCTCTCATGTCGATGGGTATTAAAGCCTAGTTCCATCTAACCAGCTCAACTGTCTAGTCCTCACAGATGTTGTTGGGTGTTTTTCTGTCTAGCCACCCCTGCCCCGTCCTGGTTTTCGTGCGCTCCTGTGGGGTAGCCCAAGAGGGAGGAGCCCACTATTTCTCTCCCAGGCTACTCCCACTCCAAGATTATGCACTCTCCAGGTAGTTCTGTGGTTTACCTTGACAGAATTAGTTCCCAGTGCCAGCTTCTGCCAGCTGAAGCTGCAGCTAAACCCAAACAACCCTCACCCACTCTAATTGTAGTTTGCACTAGTAGGAACAATCAGCACAGCCTGGCTTTTCCCTGAGCAAGTCGAATGAAACCATCTTTACAGGAAGTGTTTAAGAAACATGTTTTATTTAAATAACTCCTCCAGTAGGAAATGGAGAATTCATTGTACTCACAAGAAGGATGTGCAAAAAGTTATCTGCCTCAATTATATAGACAGCTCATCAGTCATCCCTTACTGGAAACATTTAGTATTTCCACATCAGAGTTCCCAAAAGTCTCAACATGCTGTGACTCCTTTGCCTTGTTTCTCTCTGGATTCCTCCTCAAATCATCATTTCTATCTTTGTAGATTTTCTTTGGAACATTCATCCACTGCTCACTGGCATCTACTTTTGCTTTGTGGGAGGGTTTTTCTTTTTCTTTTTCTTTAAGACTTATTTTTATTGCAAGTCAGATATATAGAGAGGAAGAGAGACAGAAAGGAAGATCCTCTATTCAATGATCACTCCCCAAGTGACCGTAACAGCCGGAGCTGAGCTGATCCGAAGCCAGGAGCCAAGAGTGTCCTCGGGGTCTCCCACGCGGGTGCAGGATCCCAAGGCTTTGGGCCGTCCTGGACTGCTTTCCTAGGCCACAAGCAGGGAGCTAGATGGGAAGTGGGGCCACTGGGATTAGAACTGGTGCCCACTGGGATCCTGGTGAGTGCAAGGCCAGTTTTTTAGCCCCTAAGCCACCGCACCTGGCCCATGGGAGGGCTTATCTTTGTCTTTGCGTTCTCTTTCAACCTAAGCCAGGGTCCCAATGCGTGTTGTCTGCTTTTTTTTTCCACATAAGATTAGATCTGTGTCCATCCTGACTTTTTCACAACTGCCATCCCTAGAGATGGGTTTCAACAGATGCCTGACTAGCTCACACCTATCCTGGCTCTTACTGTTGAATGCTGCAGCCCAGCTACACCTAGACCATGCCCAGACACAACTCTCACACGGTTCAGTGGTTCCAAGCCATTCCTACACCCTCCCTGGCTCTCACAAGCACCAATGGGTGCCGGAGTACAGCCCAGTCTGGCACCCCCAAACCCCTCAGACCTCCACACCCATGCTGAGGGACACTGCAGTCGTGTCCAGCCCAGATCGCTGCCCCCACTCTGGCTCTCAGGCTCACCAGTGGGAACCACAACCCAGTTGGGACATCCTCTTAGCTTCCCAACCAGGCCTATTCCAAGCCACAGATCTTGCATGTGCTGGTGGTTGTTCTGACCTACTTTGGCATAGTCCATCCCCTGTTTTGACCTTTGCCATCGGATGGTGCAGCCAGACCTGTCCTGGCCTGCCCCCAATCCCAACTTTTGCTGGTGGGTGCTACAGCTTAGCCCTGTCCAGTCTGCTCCCATCCCTGGCTCATGCAAACCAGTGTGATATCCTAGCCCGACACTTGCTGATGTGTGGAGCTACCTTGATCAACACCTGGGTCTGAATTACACGTTCACTAGTGGGAGCAACATCTCACCAAGGGAGTTTCCCAAGTTCCCCCACTCCCAGACCCAGATCTCACATGTACTGGTGGGTGCTAGGCTCTTACTGGGCATAGTTTGCCCCACTCCATCCTAGCCCTTGTATGAGCTGCTGTTTGTTGTGGTCTGGCTCACTTCACACCCTATTCTTGGTACACCTGAGGGTGCTGCAGTCTGGACCAGCCTGGCCTGATCCCAACCTCAGTACCCATGAATGTCGGGGGTGGTGGTGGTGGGTGGGTTCCAAGTCATGCCTAGATCAGCCCATCACCACCCCTAGCTGTTAAGCAAACCAGAGGAAGATTACAGTGGTACCCATATACCCCCCACAGAATCTGCCTCCAGACCTGGTTTTCTCAGCCTAATGTGACTGGTCCCCTATTATGATCCATCCCTGCCACATAGGCCAGGATCCAAACTGGTGCCCATATGGGATGCTGGCATTGCAGGCGGTTGTTTCACCTGCTAGGCTGTGCTGCCTGCCCAGTTCTAGGATCTTTAACTCAGTGGGGTGACCATAGTCTATGACAACTTAGGATTTATTTCAAAATAGCTCAAGAGACCAAAGTTTCTTAACATACAGAAGTGATGAATGTCTGTGAGAAGGACTGTAAATCACCCTCACTTTGTCATTACACATGTATACATTTATTGAATTATTGTCCTATGCTCATGTATATGTACCAATATGATGTGTCAGTTTAAAAACAAAGGGGTGTGGGGATATAAGTGATTAATCAGTCTCTCCAGCTTCTTGTCTCCCCCTTCAAGCAGGGAGCAGTGTTGGGGGTCTCCAGGACGCCCCTTCTTGAAATCACCCAACAGTTCTCCACACTCGTGAGATGGCTCGAGAAGCACTAGATGGCATACAGCTAAGGAACAAATATTTATTTCAGGTTGCTACTGAATAATTGGTTTTCACTTTGAGAAACGGATTGAACGTGTCCTTTTTGTCAGTCAGGATAGGCTGGGTTACGCTGGGATAACAATCCCCAAATCTCACTGGCTTTTTAAAAAGCATGAAGACTTCTCACTCACACAAACCAGGATGCAAAATGAAATACTCTCCCGCTTTCACATGCATGGAGACAGGCAGGCGTGCACAGATACAGCATCGTGTGTCAAACACATACCCCGGAACACAAACGCAAAAACCCAGGCAGGTGCTGGTTGCCTTAAACTGCACAACTCTTTGTTGGGAATTTAAAAGGTCTGAGGATGCAAGGATGGGTTTGAGAACATGCATTCTGGGTCAAGGAAATGCCCACACTACGGAAGGAACTGAAAGCTACTGGGGCACCCCGAAGCTTAAACCTGAATGTGTACTACACTCACTCCCTGCCCCCGGCCCGCGCCTGCGGCTCCGGCCTCTTGCCCAGCTAGGCGGCCTCTGCTCAGGATTCTAGCTCAGCAGGGAGATGGACCCGAGGCGGCCGATGTGCAGAGCCATGGACGGAGCTGAGCTGGGGCAGAGTGAGGGCCCGACTGGCTGGAATCCGCGTCCTCCTGTGGGAGCTGCAGCAAGGGAGAGAAGGCAGCAGCAGGTCACATATTCCCACAATTCCTCCGCCCACTTTTAAAGAACTGTTCATGTATTTGAAAGGCAGAGTGATAGAGAGGGAGGGACTGAGAGGAAGGCCTCTCATCCACTGGTCCACTCCCCAGTGGCCACAACAGTCCAAGCGAGGCCCGCTGAAGCCAGGAAGAAGTCTCCCATGTGAGTGCAGCACATTGTCCACTGCCTGCAGCTGTATCCATGGGAAGCTGAACGGGGCGGGACGTTAATGTCCCTGTCCCAACCCTCACCTCTTCATCCTATCCAGCCAAGCCTCTTGGCTGCTGACCTGGCTTTCTGTGTGGAACATGTCCTCGCTGAATTCCTCATCCTAAGACTTGACTCCTCTAATCCCTCATCTAAACCATATTTGTCTGTCAAAAACGCAGAGCCCTGAACACATCCCTGCCTGGTCCAGAAACACACTCTGGGCTTGAGCAAGTGTCCAGGTGGGTAAGATACCACAGTCCCATTTGAAAGTGAAGGGGTTCGAGTCCTGGCTCCAGTTCCCATTGTCCAACTCCAACTTCCTGCTACCCATGTGGGAGACCTGAGTTGAGTTTCCAACACTCTGCTGGCCTCAGTCCAGCCTGGGGTCGTGGGAAGGCGTCCAGCTTCCCCACTGGGGTGGGAGCTCCTGGGCTCCTAGACCAGGCGCTGCCCTCCTCAGCCCCTCACCACGCGTGGGCAGGCAGCTCGTAGCCCGTGAGAGAGCCCTGGGCGGGGGTCCAGGCTCTGTCCCTGTCTTGCCATATGCCCTCTGGCACAGGCATTTTCCTCCTTTCTCCCTGAGCCCCCTCTCCTGGACTTCAGGGCACTGGACGTTTGCTGCCAAGGCTGAAGTTGGTAGAGTGGTGGACTAGAGAAAGTCCTTAGTGGTAGACCTGCTGCAGTCCCAGGACCGGGCTGAGGAACGCAGGGGCTGGGGCCCACAGCCCTGCAGCCTGCTAGCCCCTTGTCTCTGCTGAACCCCGGCTTGTCAGTGACCTCCATCTTCCCTGCCAGCCCCTTCCCATCCTCTCTTCTCCCGGAGCAGGTTACCTGGTGGTCCACAGGGGTGGAGCAAGGAGATCCAGGTGGGGTTGGGGGGCACAGAAGGGGTCAGGCGGGGAGCCTGGGAGGAATCTTTCAGGCCCACAAGGGCCTCAGCTGCCTCCCGCTGCAGCTGCCGCTCTGAGGAGGCAGATGTCCAGGCCAGGCGAGGGGCTACAGGGGTCTGCAAAGAGAGAGAAGCAGACTGGGAACCCCAACTCTGTTCCCTCAGTCCCCTCCCGCCCCCTCTCCAGGCTCTGCCTCCTCCAGAGTCCTGGTTCTGCACCTGTGGCTGCAGCAGAAGCGGGTCTGGGGAGCCACAGGACTGGACTATCAGGGTCGAGCACCTGGAAGTAAGGACAGACACGAGGGGTCGACATGTGGACAGACTCTGCAGGCAGACGGCGCGGGTGTCCTGCCTGGTGGGTGTAGTGTGGGGTGCTCCGACAGTCCTGACTTCCTTCTCACTGGCTATGAGTCCTGAGAACAGGAGCCCCCGACTCCCTGGGGTCTCAGTGAGGACTGCAGGAACTTGTCCAGGTCACTTTTTACAAAACCAACAGGAGCTCCAAGGGCCTGGGGTTGTGCTTCGTCCTGCTCCCTACTCCCCATGGAACCCGGGGTGCCAGGCTCCCCTCTCTTATCCCCTGAGGCACTCCCCAATATGGCGCCCCATTTCAGCAGGACTCCTACCCTGCTAATGAATGTAAGAGGATTTGATATCCCTTTGTTTAAGGTCAGGGTCAGGCTCGGGATAAGCATCCCCCCCACTCACGTGCGGGGCAGGCCAGGGGGCCCTTGAGGTTCCCCAGAAAGAGGAACTGTCAGTACAGAGCAAGGTCCTGGGCAGGGCGGGAGGGGCCCATGGGTGGGCAGCCGGAGGGAGGTGCCAGAGTCAAAACCTGTGGAGGAGAGAGTGGAGCACATGGAGCGGGGGTCATGCCCCAACCCAACCCCAACATAGGGTAGGGATATCAAATATCGTCTCACCAGGGAATGGGTGCAGTGGGATGGCAGGTTCCTGGCACAGCAGGCGGCACACCACTGGAGCTGGCATGGCGAGGCTGGGAGGCAGCCAGGGGCCGGGAGCCCAGGGGCCAGGAGGCAGTGGAGCCCAGGGCAAAGGCAAGGCTTCTGGGGGCCGGCTCAGCAGCAGGGGCCCCCGAGGTTGCTCCTGCAAGGGTAGCAGGCACAGGCTGGGCATGTTCTGGGGTTGGGGCGGCACCCCAGAACTTCAGAGCAGGGGCAGCCCTGCATGCCACCCTCTCACCCTGCCCATGGACAGAAGGGATTCACCCAGGACGGTGTAGCAAAGCCAGGGCGGGGCTGGAGCCCACTCAGGGATGCAGGGTAGGAGTGTGGGCAGGAGCACAGGTGCCAGGCTCTCCTTACCTTCCCGGGCGGTGTCAGCGTCAGCGGGACTGCCCCATGAGGGGGCTGGGGGGCAATGTTCTCCTTTCCAGCTGTGAGGGACCAGCAGGGGCTCCAGTGAGCCCTTCCCCTGATCACCGCACCCTGGGGCGGAGCTCCTAAGGGCCATTTTCAACCACACTTCTCCCTGCAGCCTCCCAGGAAGGGGTGCATGGCCCAAGGTCACAGGGGTTCAAAGACAAGGGCCAGGCTCGCATCCCTGCCCCAACCCTGGCCAGAGACACTCACAGGAGAGCCCTGCTGGGGCCGCTGCCTTCTTGGCGCGGCTGGGAGCTTTGTGGGGGGCTGTCCCCCTCCTCATCAGCCCCCGAGTCAGGTGCCTCTTCAGCTGTGCCTCCTGCTGCCTGCGCAGGGCCACCTGGGCCGCCATGACTCTGCGGCGCTCCCTGGAAGGGGGTCGGGGACGGGAAGTCTCAGGCTGGCCTCCCTCGGGAGGGGGAGCCCTTCGCCTCGACCCCCCTCCTCCCCGTTTTTCCCCTTCCCGGCCTTGGACTCACAGGATGAGCACACACTTGTGACACTCGCAAGTCTGAAAGAGGCACATGCGCTTGTGGCCCTTGAGGTGGGCAGTGACGCCGTGGTTGCGGCAGCGGGCGCAGGTGGGAGAGCGGCTGACCGTCCTCCGGGGTACGAGCTCGGTGCCCGGGGCGGCGGGGGGCTCGGCCGCGGGGAGCACGGCGGGCATCTCGGTGGGTTCCATGGGTCTAGGGCGGGAGAACGGGGATCAGGACGCACCCGCCCTCCTGCTTCCAGGGAGCCCACCGGGGTGCACCCCTTCCTAGATGCCCCTTTCCCTACGCCCCTCACCCCAGCCAAACGTCACTCTTTGGCTCACCTGCACACACCGAGGCAAATCCCAGTTTCAAATGCATCCCTTCCCCGGGGGGAACCACCCCTCAACCATTCCTACATCCCCCTTTCTGTCCCCCTTCATCTGGCTGACTCTCTTCTGGGCATCCCACCTGCCTGCACCCCCTACCTGGATTCTTCCTCTGCATCTGTCCCCCCACCCGCCACCCCTTGCATGTCTCCAGTGTGATTTCACTCCTGCACCCGAGGGACTCTCCTTCACTCGCCCCACGCATTGCACAGTGCCCCCCAGCTGCCCCTCTGCAGGGGCGCCCGCGTGCGCGCCCCTTGCGGGCCAGCGGCCCCAGGGAGAGGGCAGGCCCGGGCGAGGGGAGCCGGGCGCCCACACCCCGCGGGGAGCGACCCCAGCCAGGGGAAGGACGGGAAGGGCCTGGAAGGGGCCTCGCAGCCCGCCCCGCCGCGGTTACCACAGCTTCCCGTGGAGGAGTCACACTCCGGCCAGAGGGGACCCCACTCCGAGCGAAGGGACAAGCAAGTGACGAGAGGAACGGCTGCGCTCGCGAGTGTTTCTCACCCCTTCTCTCAGCGACCAATCAGCTGCCGCCGCCTCTGGCTGCCGAGGCGGGCAGCCAATGGGCTTTGAGACCCAGCCTCGCGGACCGCCCCCTTCGGGCTGTCGGCAGTTGCACGCGCCCAACGGGCCAGCCAATAGAGCTTCGAGTTGAGTCTCGCGCTCGCGATGCCCTGCTTCCCCAAGGCCTTGGTTTTCCAGACTATTCTTCGCCTTCTGGAGGAACTGGCCAATGGGGCGTCGAGTATTGTCCACGCCCCGCCCACTTGCCAGGAACGGCCTGCCCGGCCCCGCCCCTGGGCGTTGGCGGCGGGCGACCCTTCAGCGCAGGCGCACTGTGGCACTGTGGCCACGGCGGCGTTTGGTGTTTTCTCCCTTTGCGCTCTCACCCTCTCCGTCCTCCTTGTTTCCTTTGCAGGGTCCCGCCTCAGTTTGCGCCCATTTCCTTCCCATCTCTTTTGATCGCTCTGTGTTGGTCTCTGTGCCCTGCTGTTTCTCTGCCCTGCTGGTTTTGGGGAGTGGGCGCTGTTTTTTTGGAGGGAGCCTGTTTTTTGGGGGGCTCGCGTTCTCAGTTCTCTCGGTGCTGTGTCGGCCGAGAGCCCGGCTCTCTGTCCCCTTTCCTCGCTTCCTGGGACTCATCTGGAACAGCTTTTCCGGCTTGGCCGTCACCACCGAGGGGTGGAGGGTCCTGCTCTGTAACCGGGGCCTCGGATGCTCTTTCTGAACCCCCCTTTATTCCCATTTCCCTCCCTGAGGTCTACCCCCACCCTTCCCTGACCCCCATTCCCGGTGGACTCCGGATCCCAAGGACCCCTTCTGCGCCTCCCCTTCCCCTTGCCAGCTCCCACTCCAGTTCCCCATCTGGCAGGTTTGTCTTTCCCGCGAGGTGGCAAACCCACTGGCCCCTCCGATCGCTTTCCAGGAAGCATTTTCCTTTAGGTTTTTCCTGGGGGCACCTGTACTTTCTGCTCAGATCGTGGAGGGTTCCCTCTGATCAGCGCCTTGAGGTGGTCGCCCTGGGTCAGCCCTCCGGGGTTTCTCTCTGCCGCAGGTGTGTAGGTGATGGAGCCTTTATGGTGTGTGTGGTGTTGGAGACTGGGAGAGGGTGTCAGACATGACCTTTAGCTGGGCCATATAATGCTGGAAAGGTGGTCTGGTGTCTGTTAGGGGAGGTGTGGGATGGGAAGCGGCCTGAAGCTTACTTAGTCTTTGGCAGGACGCTTCTATTAGCAATCTTTCTAGTCTTCACGCTGACCCTGTGAGATGTATTATTGATTCGTTGTTAAGGCGAGGAAGCAGGCTGAGTATTTGAGATGGCTAGAGATGGCACAGGTAGTTAGTGGAGGGGTGAGGATTCCTACTGGGCCACCTCTGGGTCCCAAGGGTCCCGATGTGTCTCTCATACTACTTTTTTTCAGTGTGATTTGCACTAATTCCCCACCCCCCCATTACTAACGCTCCCCATAGGCAGTTATTCCAAGGGAGTTACTGTGTATCTTGTGGTGTGTGATTTTGCAGGATGAGCAGTGTTTTGTGGGCATGAGTTTTAAAGTAGGTAAGAAACACGTTACTATGTAATCAGTGTTGTGCTGGGCTCCCTGCAGGTGGCACCCCTTGGTTACCTCAGCTTGCAGTCCCCCTAACATCCCTGTGTGTGTAGGTAAAGGTGGAAGTTATGTGTCATATGTACCTGCAGTTTATCAGAAATGAGTATAAGTTTCTTCTCTTTTTCTTTTCTTTTCTTTCTTTTCTCTTTCTTTCTTTCCTTCTTTATTTCTCGCTCCCCTTCCCTCCCTCCCTCCTTCCTTTCTTCCCCTCTTTTTCTTCCTTCCTGCTTGCAAAATTTATTTATTTGTATTGGAAAGGCAGATTTACAGAGAGAAGAAGATACAGAGAGAAATATCTTCCATCTGCTGGTCACTCCCCAAGTGACTACAGTGGCCAAAGCTGAGCTGATCTGAAACCAGGAGCCAGAGCTTCTTCTGGGTCTCCCACATGGGTACAGGGTCTCAAGACTTTGGGCCATTCTCCACTGCTTTCCCAGGCCACAAACAGGGAACTGGATGGGAAGTGGGGCTGCTGGGATACAAACTGGCACCCATATGGGATCCTGGTGGATGCAAGGCAAAGATTTAGTTGCTAGGCTGGGCTCAAGTCTACCTTTCAAAGTTCATGGAAAGGAGCCCAATGCGATGGCTTAGCAGCTAAAATCCTCGCCTTGGACATGCCAGATTCCATATGGGCATCATTTCTAATCCCGGCTGCTCCACATCCCATCTGGCTCCCTGCTTGTGGCCTGAGAAAGCAGTCGAGGACGGCGCAAAGCCTTGGGACCCTGCACCCGTGTGGGAGACCTGGAAGAAGTCCCTGGCTCCTGGCTTCAGATTGGCTTAGTTCTGGCCATTGCGACTGACTGGGGAGTGAACCATTGGACAGAAGATCTTCTCTGTCTCCTCTCTGTGTATCTGGCTTTCCAATAAAAGTAAATAAATCTTTAAAAAGTTCATAAAAATGGAATTACATGATAAACTTATGTTGGTGGGAACATTTTTTGAAATCCATGCATGTGAGGGATCTTCATATTTGGTTTGAAGCTTATTTGGCATCAAAATATACTTATGATTTAATTGCACAGAGTTTTGGGACCACTCTCTTTTTCATAAAGCTAATTTGATTTACTCTCAGTCTTGTCAGGCTGAGTTGGGTCCGAGACACTAATCAGAACCTTGAACACCCTTCTTGCTCAGGGTCCAGTGCCCATGGGATCTTTTTGTCCTTTCCTTCCTGCCAGCGCCGTCTCTGTCCCCAGCCTCCTGATCTTTGGTGGGTAGATTTTATTCATTCATTCACTCATTTGTAAAGATTTATTTGTCTGAAAGTGTTACAGAAAGGGAGAGGAAGAGAGCCAAAGAGTTTCTCCACCGACTGGTTCACTCGCCAGAGGGCTGCAGCAGCCAGAGCTGGGCTGCAGCTGAGTTGGTCCACAGTCAGGAGCTTCTTCCAGTCTCCCACCTGGGTGTAGGAGCCTACAGACTTGGCCCATCCTCTGCTGTTTTCCCAGGTGCGTGGATAGAGGGCTGGATAGGAAGTGGAGCAGCCAGGACTCCAACCAACACCTGTCTGGGATGTCGGTGTTGCAGGTGGGGGCTCTGTCCACTACCCTGTAATGCTACCCAGGGTGGACAGTTGACAAGTTGTTGTTAGATTTGAGCGTTTCTTAGCCTGTTAGCATTTCCAGCTGTGTGCCCCGGATTTCTCTTTCTGTCTCATTGATCTGTGGGAGATCCTGGGCTGTTGTTGCTCTAAGATGTCATATATATGAATATAATTTTAGGAGTATATCACTTTGCTGTATGTGGTTTTTAAAATTTGGAGTTGTTGACGATACTTTGGTTAATTATAAAGTATCTGATGTCTGTCGCCCCCTACTTTTCATTTTATATTCTATTTGCATCTTGTCTTTTGGTCAGGTTGCCACAGAATCACCTTGTCCATCTTTTTCGAGTATAAATGTTGATTTTTTTTTTTTTTGGACAACTATGTTTGCTGCTGCTGTGTGCTGTCTCCTGGGTTTTGGCCATCACCCTGATTTCCAGCCTTTTCTGGGGAGAGCAGAGAGTTCTTGGCTGTTGCCCATACAGCTCCTTGAACTGATTCAGGAACATGCCTTCAAGGCCATTACCCGAGAAACGTATTTCAAAGTAGAAACCCCACATCCTGCTCATACCGTTGGACCTGTATCCCACAGGTTGAGGTAGTTTGATCACAACGACATTAAGTTGGAAAGAATGGTTGTATACAAGTTAGCAGAGTCCCCTGCACTTGTCCTCCAACTGCCCAGCAGGACATCCCACAGGAGCAGGGAAATGTGGGACATGACATGCTCATCTAGACCACAGGCCTCATGCAGCCATCAGTGAATTTGACGGGTGTTGTGTGTGTGTGTGTGTGTGTGTGTGTGTGTGTAAGAGACAGAGGGATGGAGGATGGTGCCTACCTCCAAATCCAAACGCACTTCTGTTTCTTTGTGAGCTGGGATCTTGTGGTGAGGTGTTGATTCACTCCCCCTCCTATCCCAGGAGTTGTATGCACTCTTGGGTCCAGCCGCTTTGCAGCCTCGTGGAGAACAGCCTGGGCGACAGTGGTCCTGAGCCAGCACGGCGCACTGCAGAGGACCTGAGCAGGAGAGTGAGTGTGGCTTGCAGACGCTGGTGTGGGTGTGGGTCACACTGAAGGGAGACAGTCTGTGGTGGTGGGAGTGTGTGTGTGGGGACATTCAGGGTGCTGGCCAAAGTCTCCAGGGAGCCTGCAGCGTGCAAATGGTGTGTCAGTTTTTCTGTTTTGCAGGCAGGTGGATAGAACCAGAGTGAGCTTGGATCTGGGAGGACAGCCTTTGGCAGCCAGGATCATGGGCCTTCAGCCCCTGAGCCCTGTACAGCTGCTGTGCCTCCTGGGTGCCCTCAACATGCTGCCACGTGCGTGCCACCCTGGGGCAGGGGCCCCAGAGGCGGGAGGGAGGCAGGACTGGGTATCTGGGGTGGGGGAAGACAGGGTCAGTGAGGGCACTCTGTCCTCAGGGGCTGGAGCTCTCCTGTGCTACGAAGCGATGGCCTCCAGCTTCAGAGCGGTCACCTTCCACAACTGGAAATGGCTTCTGTTGAAGAGTATGGTGTGCAAACTGCGAGAGGGCTGCGAGGAGACACTAATATTCATTGAGACAGGTGAGTGGGCGGGGCGGAGCTGGGGCTGGGCGTGGCTAGGCGCATCTCTCCTCCTCCCTCTTCTGGCTGACTCCTCCGTTCAGCACCAGGACCGAGAGGGGCGGCGGGGGTAGGGGGATACCCAGAGTTGTGAGGATAATGACAGGATGCTGGCCAAAGAGAGGGGGCGGGTCCTAGCTGGCTGCAGTGTTGTGGCCTTGGCTAAGAGGGCAAATTCCTGGAGGGAGGGAGGGAGCCCAGGAGGAAGGAAAGGGTAGGGGGAGGGAGAGAGGAGCTGAGGAGGCTCCCGCAGGGTCAAGAGTGAAGAGACAGAGACCCCAGCCTCCAAGCCCGTGCAGCTGCTGTGAGAGGACCCTCCCCTGGGGGACGGGCAGGGTGGGCAACGAGCGCAGAGGAGAGTCTGGGAAGGGCCCCCCTCCGGCAAGGCCAATGACACTAATCAGAGCTTATGCCCCCCAGGAAGCAAGAGGGGAGTCGTGGGGTATAAAGGCTGCACCTCATCCTTGTCCTACCCCGAGCAAATCTCTTACCTCATCTCACCCCCTGGCGTGTCAATCGCCTCCTACAGCCGCGTCTGTCGGAGCTATCTCTGCAACAACCTCACCAGCCTGGTGCCTTTTGTGAGGCTCAGGGCGAATATGCCCAAGTCTTCCGGGCAGGCGGCCCAGCAATGCCCCACCTGTGTGGGCAGGCATGATGAGGCGTGTCTTCCAAACTTTGTTTCCCTCGAGTCCTGCCCCACTGCCGCCACTGCGTGTTACGGTTCCACCTTAAAATTTCAAGCAGGTGAGTGGGGAGGAACACCCGTCCTTCCAGGGCTTGCTTTGTTGGGGCTGGGGGGCTGGGGGTGGGATCTGAGGATGGGAGTGAGGTTCCAGGGGCGAGGCACCTGAGCCCCACGTCTCCAGGAGGCAGAAAGGAGCAGGTGACCGCCTCAGGCAGAAGGCTGCGGAGTCCTGACTGTGTCCCCGCCTCCGTTTGCGCACAGGCCGCCTCAACACCACCATCCTCCTAACAGGCTGTGCGCAGAGCCGCCAGCACCTGCTGGGGGAGTTCCACCACATCGGGAGCATCCGAGTGACCGAAGGCCTCAACATCATGGACAGGTCCCAGGTTGCTGGCGCCGGATCTGCCCCTCGGGGTTCCGCCTGGAGCGTCCTCTTTGGTTTCCTGCTGGCCTGCAAGCACTGACCATCCAACCCAGACCTCTTCACCTCACCAAATAAAGTCTCCGAGTTTCTTTTCTACTCTGTACTGGGCTCTGTGAGCAGGGAGAGAAGAGAGGCCTTGGGAGAGAAGGGCTGGGCACAGGGACACAGGGGCACTCAGCAGCCCTTTGCCCATCCTGCTTGTGGGCTCTGTGGGTTGAGTCAGGAGCTCCTGGCTCATCTGCCATCTCTAGAGTGAAGGCTGTGTGCACGGGAGCAGAACCTCTCAGGGTGGTTCTGACGGTGACTGAGTCTGTGCCTGCCTTACAGGCTGTGACTCTCCCCCCAGCCTTGTGAGACATCCAGAGAACACTTAAAATTTTTATTTTTATTATTTTGAAGATTTATTTTATTTTTATTGGAAAGTCAGATATACAGAGAAGAGGAGAGACAGAGGAAGATCTTCTGTCCGATGATTCACTCCCCAAGTGGCCACAATGGCTGGAGCTGAGCCTATTCGAAGCCAGAAACCAGGAGCCTCTTGCAGGGAGCTGCATGGGAAGCGGGGCTGCCAGAACATGAACCAGCACCCATATGAGATCCCGGCACATGCAAGGCAAGGACTAGCTGTTATCTATCTATCTATCTGTCTGTCTATCTATCTATCTGTCTGTCTATCTATCTATCTATCTATTTTTAAAGATTTATTTATTTTTAACTGGAAAGTCAGATATACAGAGAGGAGAAGAGACAGAGGAAGATCCTTTGTCTGATGATTCATTCCCCAAGTGGCTGCAATGACCAGAACTGAGCCAATCTGAATCTGGGACCCTGGAGCTTCTTCTAGGTCTCCTATGCAGGTGCAGGGTCCCAATGCTTTGGGCCGTCCTCGACTGCTTTCCCAGGCCACAGGCAGGGAGCTGGATGGGAAGTGGGCCAGCTGGGACAGGAAGCAGCCCCCGTGTGGGATGCTGGCACTTACAGGGGTAGGAGTAGCTAATTGAGCCATTGTGTTGGGTCCAAGTGAAATTTTAAAATTTACTTAGCAGGCAGAATTACACAAAGAGAAGGGTGCATGTGCATACACACACACACACACACACACACAAATACATGTACGCAGTCCCCAAATGGCTGCAACAGAAAGGGCTGGGTCAGGTTCTTCCAAGTCTCCCATGTGATTGCAGGGCTCAAACACTTGTCCAGATTTTACTGCTTTCTTAGGTGGATCATCAGGGAACTGGATCAGAAGTGAAGCAGCTAGGATTTTTTCGTTATTGTTGTTTTGATGCTTTTATTGTATTTCCATATCATTCCCTTCATGTATCTGAGGTATCTGAGGTAAATGGGGATTCTAAGGGAGAAGCCTGTGTGTGTATATATGTGTATATATGTGTGTGACAGAGCAAGAGTGAAAGCAAGAGAGAGAGAGAGAGATCTTTGATGTGTTTTTGCACTCTGCAAATGCCCCAACAGTTATGTCTGTATATCAGGTCAAAACCAGGAGCCAGAAACTCTACCTGGGTCTCCCACATGGTGGCAGGGGTCCAAGGACTTGGGTCATCCTGTGCTGCCTTCCCAGGCACATTAGCAGGAAGCTGGGTGGGATGTGGATCACTCAGGATCAAGTCAATACTGAAGTATGGAATGCTAGTGTTTTAAGCAGTGGCTTAACCTGCTAATTCGCTAGCTGGCCCCAGTCTGCTTGAGCAGATTGCTAGTGGTCGTCTGCAGAGGGCAATCCAGTGGCCCTGGTCCTGAGCTCCCAGGGCCACTGTCTCAGAAGCAGCTGTGAAGCCAGGTGGGCAGTACTCACGGGTACATCCTTAAAGCAAATGCTGCCACCATTTCCAATGGCCCTTTACAAAGAATTCTTCAAGATAGGCAGATTGCAAAGGTGGGTTAAGCATACCAACAGAGGCTGGTCATGTGTATGGTTGGTAAAACTACCTTTTGCAGTGCTGGCTTCCCGTATGGGTGCCAGTTTGAGATCAGCTGCTCTACTTCCAGTCCAGTTGCTTGCTTGGAAAAAGTAGCAAAAATGGCCCAGGTGCTTGGGCCCCACCATGGAGACCGGGATGAAGCTGGCTCCTGGTCCAGCCCTGGTGATTGGGGCCACTTGGAGGAGTGAACCAGCAGATGCAAGTCCCCTCTCTACCTCTCTTAGTAAATCAAAGGAAAAAATGCCATGGAGCTAGCATAGCGGTGTAGCAAGCTAATCCTCTGCATGAAGTGCAGGCATCCCATATGGGTGCTGGTTTGAGTCCCAGCTGCCCCACTTCCAATCCAGCTCCTTGCTGATGGGGGAAGTGTTTAAGATCCTACAGTTCAGAGGGCCTGGCCCCAAGTTCTCTGATGTTGGCTTCCTACGAAGGTGTACCTGGGGAGGCACCCAAGATGCTATTTGGATGGCATCTCTGCCATCCATTTAGGGAACTGGAGTTGGGTTCCAAGCTCCTGGTTTTGGTTTTGGCCCAACCTTTGGTGATTGTGGGCATTTGGGGGGAAAGAAACCAAGGATGAGAGCTCTCTCTTTTTCTGTCTCTCTTTCAAATTAAACTGTAAGAGAGATAGAAACAATACCAGAATGCAGTGACACAGCCTACAGTGTTCCTTGAAGGGGGGACAGGAGCAAACTCACGGCACAATGATGCCAGCCTCACCGCAGGAGGGGTAGCAGTGCCCGGCTCGCCTTGTGGATAGGTGCTGGGAGGAAGTGCTGTCAGCAGCATTCTCGTTTTCCTTTTGGTGAAGAGTACACACTCAGCTTTATTTTTGGACTGAATACAAGTGTGCCTCACTCCTTTTTTCGGAGTCCCTCTGGGTAGCAGTGCCCACCCTTAACCCAAAGCTAAGACCAGATCTGGTCACTTTAGGCAAAGCTGTGCCCACGTGGACTATTCTCCATCAAGAATTCTGATGCACGTGGCCTTTAAAGAAATAAAATATGCTGTTAGCTTCCTTAAGGAATGAGCTGATGAAACTGATCTTTGCAAGATCAAAAGGGAGTGTGAGGTGTTCAGCAGAATAGTTTATAAACCAGGGGCAGCAGCCTCCCACCCTCTGTGTCTTTCACAGGCAGACTGGAAATGGCTTTTCCAGCAGTTCCTTTCATCCTGGTCTTGTCTGTTGCATTGTCCAGGAATTTGGGTCACAGAGACACTGTCCATGGTGCTGATGGCTGGAAATTGGCTGGTGAATTGTGATCTGCCTGTTGGATTTTGCTTTCTGTTCTCAAAACTGTATTAATCTTTAGAGGGTCAGCAGTAGGGGAGAGAGGCCATGTCTAGGGAGAGACCCTTCAGCCATCTGGGGTCAAGTAAGCTGGAGGAGGTGACCTGGGCTCCACAGGTCAGGGCTGAGCTGGCTGGTCAGGGTCCTCTGGACTGTTTCATGTAATCCTGAGAAAGGGTCAGGGACCCCAGGAGTGACGGCAAGGGTGGATGCTGCTTACTGCGGGCTGGAAGATGAAGGCTGGAACTCTGTGAGGTCATTTGGCTGCTGCTCCTAGGAGAGAAACGGTTTGTTTGAGCATACCAGCAGTGGTCCCGGCTCAAGGGGACAGTGAGGATGGGAGAGGAGACCGCTTTCCTCCATCACTCCTATGCTGGGCAGGGTCCCAGGGTGGAGAGAGGGGGAGCTGAGGACAGGCCCACGGGGGCCACTCTGGCCTGCGCCAGCAGGTGAACCCCAAGGAGATGTGGACCCTGAACCCCACTGGCCAAGGGATTGGGAAAGGGAAGGAGCTGGAGGGCTTGGCATAGTGGAAGAGTTCAGGCCCTGGGAGGGAAAGCGAGATGACTGTGGGTGAAATGCTAGGGAGATGGAGGGGTTGTTGCTCCCAGCACGGGGATCAAGGAAGGGCTGGGCGTGCTGGAATGGGGACTGGTAAGGGAGATCTTTGCACCTGCGGGTCTACTTTTTTTTTCCATGAAAGATTTATGTATTGTTATTGGAAAGGCAGATTTACAGAGAAAAGGAGGGATGGAAATATTTCCATCTGCTGGTTGATATTCTAAGTGGTTTCAATGGCCAGAGCTGAGCTGATCTGAACCTAGGAGCCAGGAGTTTCTTCCAGGTCTCTCATGTGGGTACAGAGTTCCAAGGTTTTGGGCCATCTTCCACTGCTTTCCCAGGCCACAAGCAGAGAACTGGGTGGGATATGGAGAAGCCAGGATATGAACCACTGCCCATATGGGATCCCAGTGATGCATTCGAGGCAAGGATTTAACCATGAGCCATTGTACTGAACCCATTAAGAATGAGCCCCTCAGGGAGGATAGTAGCTGTCACAAAAGGCTGCTGGAACTACAGTCTCTGGGGATGGCCTGGGCACTGCCAGCCCCGGCTGGCTGGTGAGTAGCAGCTACTTGATGTGTGGTAGGGGGACAGAGTGTCTCACTCCTGGGCATCGCACCATGGAGTGCACATCTCCTGTGTGCTCTTATTTCTGTCTGCATTGAAGCAGCCCATGGCGGGGCAGAGCCTGTGCCCTTTGCCACAGGAATACGTCCCAGATATGTAGTTCTGGAAAGATCTCCCTAGCTCTTCAACACATACCCACCACCCTCCAAGTAGTGCTCTGTCTGGTTGCACTTGAAACCTAATTCAACAGCATTGGGCTGGCTCAGAAGTGGATGTCCCTAGGGGTGGCAGCAGCAGCCACACTGCTCTCCGGTTTCATTGGAAGGACAGAGACCCCTGTGCAATGCCGGTGCACCTGCAGCTAATGCTGTATACACACCGGTGTGGCCAAACCCTTCCGCAGGGCAGACAGCCCCTCTGTTACGCCAGGCACAGGGGTGTTCTTTCAGCAGGGGACAAGGGTGTTGTTTTCAGCCTCCTTGATGGGCACCCCTGCTCCTCCAGGATGGATTGATAACAAGGGAGCGGGCACTGAGACCGATTCCCCAGCAGTGACCTAAATGCAGGTGCCACCAGGACCCTGGTGTCCTTGCCTCCCCTGTGCTCTAATTTTGGGCTAGTTTGGTGGGGTGGCACAGCTCATTCTCACTGCCAGCTCCTGAAGCCACTCATTGGCTACTGCCAGAGTAACCCCTTGATGTCCACTAGGGAGGCACTTAATGAGGGGGAATTTCAGGTCCGGGCAAGGAAATCCCAAGTCCTGGGGTGAGCGGACAGGTGGAAGGTAACTGCCTACCCCGCAGTGAGAGCCCCCGCATCCAACTGACGCCACTGACTGGGTCATCGCAAAAATCCCGCAGTCCAAGAAAGACCAGGATCGTCAATGTGACACGCACACTTGAGAGACCGCAGGGTCACGCCACTGCTTCCCAGACAGGGTTGTGTCAAGCTCCTCATATGTCAGCTTTTTATAACTGCTATAACCAAGAGAGCCAATCCAGAGTAAACGGAACACACTCAAAATAATGCTGAAAAATTACATTAGGGGCCAACGTTGTAGTGCAGTGGGCTTAACCCACCACTAGAGGGCAGGTTTGAGGCCAGGCTGCTCCACTTCCAGTCCTGGGAATCCAACAGAATACCAACTGGTGCTGTGGCACGGCCCTCAGTGCTGGCATCCCACACAGGTGCCTGCTAGAGTCCCGACTACTTCACTTTAGATCCAGCTCACCGCTAATGGGTCTGGAAAAGCAGTGGGAGGTGGCACAAATCTCTTGGGCTCCTGCTCCCACAGTGGGAGACCCAGATGGAATTCCAGGCTCCTGGCTTTGGCTCAGTTCAGGAATTTAGCTTGTTGCTGTGGGATGCAGCAGATGCACTTGCAAATGAGAATGTGATTCCATCCACAGCAAATTTCTGCACACGTGGACGGTTACAGTGCCTCGGAAGTTGGACCTACTCAACCCCCTTTCCCCGAGGCTGCAGCCAGGACCCCGGGAGCCCCTGGAATGACTGCCATCATCTCTGAGCAGTCAGCGGTGGCCGCTCTGCCCCGCACCCCCTGACCCTAACAAGCTTGCAGGTCTTGGCAGAAGGGTGCCCCCTCGTGGATCCTTCCATCACCACACATTCCCACCAATGGGGCGACCGTCGTGGATGTTTTCCCCAACACTGGACTGCGGTGTCTCCCCGTCTCCAGTCAGGCTCCCTCTTTGGAGCAACAAACAGGGGGACGCGAGTCTTGGTCTCTCTAGCATGGCTGCGAAGTCCCTGCCCCTGCCCCGTGCCAGCTGAACGAAATGTTCCTGCTCCAGGGGAGGAGAGACACCAGACGCCATGGCAGGCCTGCAGGGCCCTCCCACCTAAGTGCCTGGCACCCCACCAGGATCCAGTGTCAGCCCCAGGGTGCAGCGCACGCTGACCAGGGTGATGGGGGTGAGGCAGGCAGCAAAGTTAGGACCTTACGCTGCAAGATGGCCTCCTGTCACCCCTCCCTGCCTGTAATCCTATCCGCCTACCTGGGGACAAATCCGCCTTTCCTGGGACGTGGGGGAGCCACCACATGGCCTCATAAAAGACTGGCAACTGGCAGGAGCTGGCTTGTCCCGACTCCTGCAATGACCTGGAGGAGACCAGGCACTGTAACTGCATCCCCCCCCCCCCAATGCCAGGTTTTCTCTTCTTGCCCATCCATTCCGGATGTGTGTGTTCTCTCACCTTTTCTAAATAAGCTTTGCCACGGCACACCTGTCGCTAGATTGCTCCTCTGGGTGAAATCCGCTTCCGGGGTGAACCCCAGGGCCTTCCTGCCTTGTGGCAAACCTTGTGGTGAAAGCATCTCCAGGAAATGCAGCCCCCTCCCCGGGAAGTCTGGTCTGTAACCATAAGCCCTGATTGCCCAAAGGGAGGCAACTCCCAGGTGTCAACCAAAGTGTCTGTCACAGTACCCAGGCCACATCCCCAGCCAGCCTCGCTGACACCTGAGGGATGAGAGAGACCTGGGCCAGGCAGAGGCCGCCTTGTCTTCTCAGGATTGGCTGGCTCCTGCCTGGGAACGCGATTTCACATCCTTGCCTTCTCTCTCCCAACTTGGGTCTCGCTGAGCTAAAATGCGTCACTCCACGGATAAAAAAAAAGTCACAGCAGGCCAGCCACTGCAGAGACCTAATCAGCTGCTGCAGGCACTTAGCCGAGGGGACAGGAGGCAGTGGACGGCCAGGGAAGCCCAAGGAAGTTGTGTTTTCCTGAGCCTTGGCCTCGGCAGGATGAAGCTGGCACGGTGCAGGCTGTCCCCTGGGAGGCATGAGCTCTCGGGGCAAGGGGCTCCTTGGAGAACGACCATTTTAGCTTATTTTCTTTAAAAGCTTATTTATTTATTTGAAAGGTAAAGTTACAGAGTGAGCAAGAGAGAGTTTTTCATTTCCTGATTGACTCCCAGAGGGACTGAGCCAGCCAGGGTCTCAGGCCAGGTCTCCCGTGTGTGTGTGTGTGTGTGTGTGTACAGGGACCCAGGGATTTGCATAATTAACGGGAAGCTGGAATTGGGAGCCAGGCTGGGACACGAACGCGGACATTCTGATATGATGTCATGATCGCTGCCCAAAACGTTCACTTGACTGGTAGAATTTAAATAGCGTTCAAGGGCTGGCTATATATAGGTTGCTTGAGACTCAGCTGCTCCACTTCCCATCCAGCTCCCTGCTTGTGGCCTGAGAAAGCAGCAGGGGATGGTCCAAGTCCTTGCCTGCCACCCCCCGCCCTATGGCCTAGGAAAACCATAGAGCATGGTCCAAAGCATGGGGACTGCATCCAGTCACTGAAAAGACGTCCCTACCGCTAGCACCGGGGCTCCTCTGAGTCGCTCTCCCACAGGCTGGCTGGTAGCTGTGAGTCAGACTCTGTAGGAGAATTCCCGTAGCAGGAGTGGCCAGGGACAGTGGCTGTGGTTTGCTGGCATGCCCCCTGCTCCTATCTCCTTCCCGCAAAGGGTTTTGGGTAATCCAGGAATACCCCAGCTCTTGTCAGCTACACAGCCTCAGTCACCACCCTGTCCTGGTGCCAGTGTCAGCTGTGGCTTCCCGGGTGGTAGTCAGGCTCGTGGGGGTAGTGAGAAGTCCGGGCATGTTGAAAAATAAACTCATCTTAAAGCAAAGAAAGAAATAGAAAGCCAATGAGGGACAGAGGCCAGGCCGGGAAGACATGGGGTCCCCCAAAACCCAGCCATTTCCCACTGGGGACCACAACTACCACTCCTGAGAGGGTGGGGGGGGGCACATGTGAAAGGGGTGGTAAGGAGAGGGCTGGGGCTGGAGCCCTGGGTGTGAGGGAGAAGGGACAGGACCCTGGCTGTGAGGCAGAGGGGAGAATCAGAACTTTAAGTTCTGCCAGTGGCTTGAGACAGCGGGTGGTGAGCCGGGACCATTTCACAAGGCTCCATCCCCTTCCTTACGGCTTGCTTACGGCAAGGCAAGATCTAAAGGGTCCTCATGTCCTGGCCCAAGAGCTAAGTCCATTCGCCATCGGGCTCCCTACTGATGCACCTTTGTCGGCCTCTAAGGACAGCCTCAGTGCTTGGGCTCCTGCCACCCAGGGTGGAGTTCCAAGCTTCTGGCTTCCACCTGGCCCAACTCTGGCTGTTCAGAACATTTGGGGAGTGAATGAGCGAATGGCACATCTCACTTTTTGTCTCTTCCTTTCTGTGACTTTGCCTTTCAAAAAACAAAACCGAAAACAAATAACAAGGGGCTGGGATTTGGGCACAGTGGTAAAGGCTGCATGCCATATGAGTGCTGACTGGTACTCTGGCTGCTTCCCTTTTGCCTCAGCTCCCTGCCAATAGCCAAGTGTGTGTGTGTGTGGGGGGGGGGGTGTCACGCTGGGGAGACCAAGCAGGTGCATTCTTGGGGCCAGCACTGTGGGGCACAGAGAGGTACCTGATCCTATCCCAGAGCCCTGCCAGCAGCACCCACTGCATCTGTCAACTCGCTTCTCAGTGCCAGGGACCGAGCGGTGTCCTGTCTGCCTGTCTAAACAGGATTGCCTGGAGACCACTCCGCAGCAGGTGTGTCCCGTGGGGCAGCCACACTGCTACAGTGGTATCCTCAGGCTCCACGGAGGTGAGGCCGGGTCACGGGCTCTGTGGACGGTAAATGTGGGGCGTGCAGTAGGGTGCTCAGTGAAAGTCTGGGTGTGTGTGGGGGATGTGCATGGGTGCCCAGAGGAGGCACTGGCTTGTGGGAGTTGTGCCCCACTCTTGGGTGGGAGATGTTGCTGGCAACATCTCCATCCCCATGTGTGCCTGTCTCTCACCCACCCAGCGGGCATCATCTCCAAACTGAGAGTTCAGGGCTGCATGCCTGAACCAGGCTGCCACCTGCTCAACGGGACCAAGGAAATTGGACCCGTGAGTGTGAGTGAGGACTGCAGTTGTAAGCCAGGTGAGTCCTGGGTACTCAGCCCGGGGGACCAAGTCCTATGCTGACACGGGGGCAGCAGTGGATCTGTTGTTGTTAGATGGGAAGAAAGTGGCAGTGGGCTGAGCTGTGTGTGGCTCATTGTGGACAGCTGGTGGGGAACACCTGCCTTTGTCCTGCTGGGAGGGACAGGTTGCTTCCAGTATTCCTGATCTATAAACTTGACCTGGAGTAACCCTGGCTCTCGCATGACTCCCACCCTCTCTACTGCCTGGATGACATTTTTACCTGGGTCTAGGATCACCATAACCAAGCTTGCAAAATCGGGAAGAAAATCCTGGTGCCTTTAAGAAGGCCACATACTCCCGAGTGACCCGGGGCCACTGCAAAGTCCTTACTTGCCTTCATGCCTCACTCTCGACCCACAGAGGTGGACAGTTGCCACCACGACGCAGAAGGAATCCGTGTGGGGAGGGCAGAGAACATATTGGCAGTTCTAGCTTCCTGGTGAGCATGCTCTCGGTGCCTCAGTTTCCTCATCTGCTCAGATCATCCAACCCCTGGGAGTGTTAACAATGAGAGCTCTGAGTTATCTGACGTGCTCTCCTCTGTGTAGAGGCTGGCTTGGGCGCATTGAAGGTGGGGCCGATGACAGAGATGCCAGGGTTCCATGACCGGAAGTCCAGGAGCTGGCTGAAGTGAGGAGACCCTGGAAGTGTGGCCCTTGTCCCTGCTGGGAGTTCTGGGAGGAATGGGGACGGGGTCAGGGCTTGGGGACTTGGAGAGGCTCAGAAAGAGAAGTTGCTGGTGTCCTAGGCAGATGAAGAGGAGGTCTGTGAACTGGGTTGGAGGCCCTCGGGCTGAGGGGAAGTGGAGCCCGGCAAGCAAGAGGGCACCATGTGTGCCAAAGTCTGCGGACAGGGTGAGGCTGCCGCTGTCCACAGATGTTCCTCAGCATTGCCTGGGAAGGGTTTAGGAGGAGGGTGGGGTCTCAGCTGGACCTCTGCGCAGGGAGGGGATCACAGGGGTCCAAGCAGACCTGGTGGGCAGAGGGGATGAAGAGACATTATCCCGAACAGGAGTGCTGGTGGGGCTGAGGCTTGGGTGCAGGAAATGACCCGGTTACCAGATTGGATTTGTGCAGGGGCACAGGAGTTCATGGGGTGTCTTGTGGTGGATCAGCTGGGGTTGGGGGTATAGATGAGGGTCTTCAAGTTGAGAGATGGAAGCAGGGACAGGCCATCCCTCTGTGGCTCTCACACCTGACAGGAGGAACTCCCTGGAGTTGCCCAAAAAGAAACAGGGTGAACTGCGTGGGTGGGGCTTGGGCCTTCACCTCCTCCTGAACCTGGACACCTAGACTGTGCCTTGGGATGTGACTACTGTCACTGGCATGGAGGGACAGACTGGCTCCCAAGGTCCTGTCATCTTCCCTCTCTGCAGACACCCTGATCTGTCAGAAGCAGTCTGAAGCCAGGAGCTTTTTCTGGGTCTCCCATGCAGGTGCAGGGTCCCAAGGCCTTGGGCCATCCTTGGCTGCTTTCCCAGGCCACAGGCAGGGAGCTGGATGGGAAGTGGAACAGCCAACACATGAACTGGTGCTCCTATGGGATCCTGGCACATCTGTTAGGCCATCACTCTGGGCCCATGATTAATTAAAACAAAATTATTTATTTTGTTTGGAAAAGGAGATTTACAGAGAGAAGGACAGATAGAGGTCCATACTGCTTTCCCATGCCATAGAACAGGGAGCTGGAGGGAAGTGGAGCAGGTGGGACCTGAATTGGTGCCCATATGGGATGCTTGCACTTGGACGGCAAGGACTAGCCACTTGAGCCAATGTATCAGCCCCAGATGATTATTTAATTTTACAAACATTTTTGATGAGCTCCATTAGGACATAATAGTCTTTCCAAAGTAACCTAGTGAAGTTGCTGTCTCTTAATATTTGTATTAACTGGCCCTAGTATTTTAAAAATCATTTTAAGTTTCTTGATTTTTTAAACTATCAAGTTATATGTATTTTTAAAAAATTTATATTCATTGCATACAGAAAAAAAAGAGAAATATCTCTCACCCACTGTTTTACTGCCCAAATGTGCCCAACAGTCTGGGTTAGGCTAGGCCAAAGACAGGAGCCCGGAACACAATCCAGGGTCTTCCACATGGTTAGCTGAAGCGTGCGGTCAGAGCTGTGGCACAGCAAGTTAAGCTGCCACCTGCAGCGCAAGCATCCCATGTGGCTGCAGGTTCACATCTGGACTGCTCCACTTCCAGTCCAGTTCCCTGCTCATGTGCCTGGGAAAGCAGTGAAAGCTGACTCACGTATTTGAGCTCCTGCACCCACCTGGGAGACCCTGAAACAGCTCTGAGCTCTTGGTTTTAGCCTGGCACAGTCCCAGCTGTTGGATGGAAGAATCTCCCTCCCACTCTTCATTTCTCTCTCTCTCCTCTCTGTAACTCTGCTTTTAAGATAAAAAAAAAAATTGAAAAAGCAAGCAAACAATCAGAAAAATCAGCACATCCACTCCATGAGCCGCCACTTGCTATTTCCTATTGTGGCCACTAACAGAAAGTGGCCCAACACAGGATGAGCTATTGCAGGCGGGTTCTACACTGTTAAGCCAAGTACCCACCCCAAGCCCTTTCTTATTCCACCATCTTTCCTAGCTGGGATCTGCAAGGTGAAGAATCACCCCAATCCTCCGCCCTGTGATGCTAGCATCCCATATGGGTGCCGATTTGTGTTCCGGCTGTTCCACTTCCCATCCAGTTCCCTGCTTGTGGCCTGGGGAAGCATCAGATGACAGCCCAAAGCCCTGGGGCCCTGCAGTCTCATGGGAGACCCAGCTGAGGCTCCTGGCTCCTGGCTTCGGATTGACTCACTCTGGCCCCCGTGGCCATTTGGGGAGTGAGTGAACCAGCGGATAGATGATCTCTTTAACTCTCCTTCTCTCTCTCTCTCTGTAAAATCTGTCTTTTGCATAAAAAGAAATGTTTAAAAAAATTCACTGCCATTGTAACTCAGGAACACTCCAATTCTGAAAGTGCAGAGTGGACCTGTTACGTTATACCTGCAAGGCTTACATGAAGACGCATGGAAAAGAACTCCTGCCCGCGCACAAGGAACCCGAATGTTGTGTCTGTCTCAACGCATGGACAAGGCAAGCAGACAGGGCACTGTGATGGCCGCAAGCCACTCGTGCCCGCTGCTCGGAGCTTGGCTCCCCACAGCCTCCCGCTGGCCACAGGGCAGTGACCCTTAGAGGGGGCCGCCTGGCCATTGCAGGTGCCAAGTGAGGGGGCACATGAACTCCAAGGCCTTGAGGACTGCGCAGCTTGTCGGGGGCAAGGGCCAGACTGCAAACCTAAGTTGAGCCAGTAAGGGCTAAGAGTTCGACCTTTCGTGAGGCTGAAGGAGAGACAACACGGACTGAAGAAAGGAAGGGGTGAAGTCAGTCTTTGGTTATGGGTCGAGATGCCACTGAGTCCACTTTCAGCTAACTTGCTTCCCCAACTTGCCTTGTACGCATGCGCACATTTCGCGTTTTTGGGATGGGTGGGGGATGGACGTTCAGAGTGTCTTCAAGTTCCTCCAATGAGCTCATCAGATGCTTCTGCATCGCCCAATAGGGCTTCGAGTGTCCTCTTGGGTAGATGCTGGTCCCGCCTTCCGTGCGTCCGGACGACTGACTATATAGAGCCAAATACCCGTTGGGCGAGAAGGCATTCGAGATTGTTCTTTTGGCGTCGCGAGGCGTTGGTATGCTCATTTGGATGCCGACAAGAGTTTTACTCGTTAAAAGAGGAAAAGGAGGTTGGGGAGACGGGTTTTTGGATCCTGAGGGAGAAGAAGAAGGCCCCTGGATGGTGGCGGGGGTGGGGGTCGGGGACAGGTAGCTGTTTCCGAGTCCGGCGACGGTTAGGGGTCCTGCGGCCTTGGCTGAAGCCGGGGCCACGCGGGCACAGAAAGGGGTCTGGAACCCAGACTTCCAGATTCGAGGCAAATCCCCGATTCTGCGAGGGGAACGGGTGGTGGGAGTGAAGCTTCAAGAAAGTAGGGGCTGGGCTCTGGGGCCTGAGGGGGAAGATGCTTTTGGGGCCCGGATTCCCTGAGTGGTTAACGCTGGCGGAAACCGAGGCATCCTAACCGGGAGAGCTTGCCTGTCCTGAAGCAGGATCTGAGAGACCGTGGGCCGCAGCATCTCCCGCTGCTCCCTGGTCAGCCCTCGAGGGGTCGTGTCACTCCGTGGGCTTGAACTTGGCCTTCTCTCCACCCCGTCTCACAGGTCTCAACCTGCTCTTCCTCCCTTCCCCGAGAGAAGTCATGAGAGGTTTTCACTTGTGGGATTTACTCTTCCTCGTCCTCCTGGGAGCCTGTGGGACATGTATGTGGGGTGGGAGAGGTGTGGGGACATGTACATGGGGGAGGCGCGTGGGACGGGTATGTGGGGGTGGGGCATCGGGAGGCTCTGCTGCATCCCAGCTGATGGGTTTGTGGCGCTAGCTGGTGTCTTTGACTCCCCTCCCCGGGGAGGACAGGTGCTCACCCCTCTGCTTTTCTCCCTAGCGGCCCATAGTTTGAGCTGCCAGAAGAGTATGACCATGCAAGTGGGAGCGGGCTTGTCCAAGACATTTAATTGGACTGCAAAGGAGATTGAGACTTGTGACAGTGGAGCACTTTGCCATGAAAGCATGATAGTGATTAAAGCAGGTAAAATAAGAGCGGGCAGTGGGGTGGAGGGGAGCTGCATGGCCATCGCCACTCCCGCCACCTGGTGACCCACCTCCTGTCTCCCAACAGGGACCAAGACGGCCCTTGTGGGCAGCAAAGGCTGTACCCATGGCTCAATGGAGTCCATAACGTTCATACAGCACTCCGCACCCCCTGATCTGGTGGCGATATCCTACAGTAACTACTGTGAGGATATGTTATGCAACAACAGAGAGGAGATACGTCATTTTGGGGATCTTTCAACTTACGCAGGTAACCCGGAGGAGGAAGAGGTGGTTAGAGAAGCCGACGGGTCCCCAGGAATGATGGCTTTCCTGTCTCTGTTCCTGTGAGCTCATGTGTCCTTTCTCTGGATCATTACCCCGGGATCTTAACAGTACACAGAGCACAGGAATGTTGCAGAGGGCTGGGGTATAACCTGGGTTTTATGTTATTTATTTACTTATTAAGATTTATTTACTGAAAGGCAGAGTTTTGATGGGGGGCAGGGAGGGGTAAGACAGAGAAGAAGGAGTTTTCCATTCATTGCTTCATTCCCCAAGTGGCTGTGATGGTCAGAGTTGGGCTGATCTGAAGCCAGGAGCCAGGAATGTCTTTTGAGTCTCCCACATGGGTGCAGGGACCCAACGACATAAGCCATCCTGTGCTGTTTTCCTAGGCCCATTAGCAAGAAGCTGGATCAGAAGTGGTGCAGCTAGGATTTGAACTGGCACTTGTATGGGATGGCCCTGCTGCAGGTGGCACTTTTGCCCGTTGTGCCACAGTGCCAGCCCTGGGTTTTGCATTTTTTGAAGCAGGAAGATGGCAGTGTACCTGCCTTCTAGGCACAGGCGGTGACATTTCAGGGCGACCGTTATCAGTTGCCCGTTGCTGTGGAGTAGCAGCCCAGTTCCCATTCTGGCCTCAAGAGCTATAGTAACAGGCTCGGCCTGTTGTTCCCACTTAATTTCCCTCGGTTCTCTCTAGGTTTATTATGTTCTAGCAGGGGCTGGAACTCAAGATACTTAGCCATGGAGATGGCCCTGGCCATCAGAACGTAAGTGTTGGCTGTAAGCCAAGGTCACGCCTCTTCTGCACTCTGCCAGCTTCCCACGTTCTTGATAGGCACCACATCTCGCTCCTTGTGGTCCCTCCCTCCCTGCACTGCCCATTTTCACACTGGTAACTTCTGTCTTTGTCTCTACTCAGGTTTCAGCTCTTTGAAAAAATTTTTTTGAAACTTCACCATTCTTTTAGGTTTTGAGGTAGTTCTCTATTCCTCTGCCATTGTATCTTGAACATGGAACCTATTTGGCTGAATTGTAGTTACTTACTTGATGCTGGATAGCAGGAACTGTGTCTGTCTCAGCTTTGTATGTCTACACCTGAATATGTAGCTTGGAGATCACGTGGGTGGGCTTCTGGCAGCAAAGAATGTCAGCTGGGGCAAGCTGGAGAGACTGCAGGAATGGGTCTTGATTAGAGTGCCGTCATCAGGAAAGACTTGGGGAAGACAAGGAAGCATGGAGAGACATTTAAAAGGACAGGCCACGCCCTTGACAGGCTTTTTCTTCCTTCAGATTCCATTGTGCAATCCAGTAACCGCTGCCCAACCTGTCTAGCTTTGGGGACCTGTTCCAGTGCTCCTTCTCTGCCTTGTGTCAATGGTTCAACTCGATGCTATGAAGGAAAACTTGAGGTCATTGGAGGTAAATGGAACACCTGGTGGTGTCAGAGGCTGGAAACCCAGTCACTGTGGAGATCCCGGGAGGCTCTGACTGGTGGAATTTCAGGGATGTGGGAGGGTTGAATTCTCCTCTGATTTTCTAACACACTGGTCTTCTTCATTAGGAGACACCAATGCCACCGTGGAGATCAGAGGCTGTACAGCTATGACAAGGTGTAGGCTGATGTCAAGATTCCAAGCAATAGGACCCATGTTGATAAATGAGACATGCTCCATCCACCCTTTTATTAAGCCCCGATTTGCTGAAAACGGAAGCTCCGTGGCTTCCCATTTCAGTTTTGGGGTCAGAGCTACTGCTGCCATTGCTGCTGCCATCACGTGTCCTTTTGTCCTGAGAAAGTACCTCTGGTCCTGGGTCTCACAGCGCCTGTGTTGACCAAGAGCCTTTTGAGTGATTTGTCACTGGCTCGCTGAGCAGTGGAGATTGGAGGGAAAACGGAGAGAGATGCTATAGGTATAGTAAATGTATTTGACACTTTAATAAAATGTCTGTTACTTATGTGAGCTTTGAGACTGAAAGTGGAATATTAGTGCTAAAAGGGCACTCAGAATTCTCCAGTGCACACAGTTTTGAGAAAATGAATATGAGATCTGGAAAACTTCCCTAAGTTTCTCATAACTTCATAGCCATAGACAGAATGCTTTAAATGCTTTAAAACATGCATTTATTTTTATTGGAAAGTCAGATTTACAGAGAAAGGTCTTCCCACATTGTGCAGGTTGATTCCCCAGAACTGAGTCGATCGGAAGCTCTGGAGCCAGGAGCCAGGAGCCAGGAACTTCTTCCTGGTCTCCCACATGGGTGCAGGGTCCCAAGGCTTTGGGCTGTTTTCTACTGCTTTCCCAGGCCATAAGCAGGGAACTGGATATGAAGTGGTGCAGCTAGAACATAAACTGGCATGCATATGGGATGCAGGCACATGGTTGGCCAATTGAGCCAATACCTGGCTCCAAGAACTTGATATTTTGTATCTAAAGTATGAGTTTTCTCATCCTAGGGTGTTTATTTCCCTGCCAGTTGGTCAAGCAAATAGCGTAGTCACCCTTCAGAGCACTCCCAGCTCAGATGTAAGGTTAAGTCAGCTCCTGTGGGGTTGAGAATTTCTCTAGAAAGTGCGGTAGAATGAGGAAAATCAGACCCCAAGTTGTGTGGTGATTGTGGGCTGCACAGGTGGAAGAGTAGTCCAACATTATTTATTTTTAAGCAATTTAAAAAAATATTTATTTTATGTTTACTGGAAAGTCAGATATATAGAGAGGAAAAGAGAGAGAGGAAGATCTTCTGTCTGCTGAGTTATTTCCCAAGCGGCTGCAAAGGCCTGATCTGAGTAGATCCGAAGCCTGGAGCCAGGAGCTTCTTCCAGGTCTCCCACACTGGTACAGGGTCCCAAGGCTTTGGCCCTTCTCTACTGCTTTCCCAGGCCACAAGCAGAGAGCTGGATGGGAAGAGGGGCTGCTGGGATTATAACTGGTGCTCATATGGGATCCCAGCATATGCAAGGAGAGGACTTTAGCTGCTAGGCTAACGCACTGAGCCATACTTTTAAACAACTTAAAAAGATTTATTTGAAAGGCAGAGTTATGGAGAGAGAGTCCAAGAGGGACCTCCATCTGCTGATTCATTCCTGTAGCGGCTGGAGCGGGGACGGGTTGAAGCCAGGAGCCAGGGCTTCTTCGCGTCTCGTATGTGGTGCAGGAGCCAAAATACTTCGGTTTTCAGGTTGCTTGTCTCTGCCTCCATTCCCACACTTGTTGTGATACTTCCAGGCGTTTCTGTTTGCATTTCCGTGATAATGGCCCAAGTGCCTGCATGAAGGGTCTAGAGAGCAGTGGAAGGAACTGGGAGACAAAAGCAACTGGAAACTACAACCCTGAGCGTCTCCTCCTCCTTCCGTCCGAGTCCAGTCTCTGTCCTCACCTGTGCCACTCACTGTGTATGAACGTTTGGCCTGTGCTGTTCTTCCCACACCACCCTTCACCACGCAGGTCCCAGTGCCAGCTGTGCTGTGCTTCCCACACCACCCTTCACCACGCAGGTCCCAGTGCCAGCTGTGCTGTTCTTCCCACACCACCCTTCACCACGCAGGTCCCAGTGCCAGCTGTGGAGCCCCTTGCTGACCCCTGGTCCTGCTGATCTCCCTTCGTGTAGCACAGCCCCTCTGTCTGCCTCCTTATTCTACCGTCGCCTGCGTCACAGTACTGTCTCCCTCAACAAGGCAACAGCACCTCTAGGACAGGCCTTGCTTCCAACTGTTTTATAACTTGACAGCACCCGCAAGAGTGACCAGCAACTTTATCAACTGTCCTGCATTTTCTTTTTTTTTTTTTTTTTTTTTTTTAAAGATTTATTTTTATTATTTTTTCATTGGAAAGGCGGATATACAGAGAGGAGAGACAGAGAGGAAGATCTTCCGTCCGATGATTCACTCCCCAAGTGAGCGCAACGGGCCGATACTATGCCGATCCGAAGCCAGGAGCCTCTTCGGGGTCTCCCACGTGGGTGCAGGTTCCCAAAGGTTTGGGCCGTCCTTGACTGCTTTCCCAGGCCACAGGCAGGGAGCTGGAAGGGAAGCGGGGCTGCCGGGATTAGAACCGGCGCCCATATGGGATCCCGGGCGTGCTAGGCGAGGACTTAACCACTTGCGCCACCGCTCCGGGCCCTGTCCTGCATTTTCAAGATGAAACAAATTTCCAACAAATATACTGAGCATCACCAGCTGCAACCAGTGACCTTAAACTTGGTGTTAACTTGAAGAAACATGCAGTATATTCTGGAATATAGAGAGAAGACAGATTTAAGGAGGAAGAAGTATTGCAAAAAATGAATCTTTTTTTTTTAAAGATTTATTTATTTATTGGAAAGTCAGATGTACAGAGAGGAGGAGAGACAGAGAGGAAGATCTTCCCTCCGATGATTCACTCCCCAAGTGAGCGCAATGGCCGATGCTATGCCGATCCGAAGCCAGGAGCCAGGAACTTCTTCCAGGTCTCCCACATGAGTGCAGGGTCCCAAAGCTTTGGGCCGTCCTTGACTGCTTTCCCAGGCCACAAGCAGGGAGCTGGATGGGAAGTGGAGCTGCCGGGATTAGAACCAGCACCTCTATGGGATCCCGGGCGCATTCAAGGCGAGGACTTTAGCTGCTGGGCCACGCTGCCAGGCCTGTAGGCCACCTCTTGTCCTGTCTACCTCTTGTCCTGACAGGAACACTTGCCCAACCAGCCAATACCATTTCTGGTTCTTACTGTTGGGTGTTACAGTCTAGACACACCTGGTCCACTGCCCGATTCAGCTCTCACATGACCCAGTGGGAGCTGAGACCTAGCCTAACCTATTCTACACCCACTCTGATTTTCATGAGCACCAGTGGGTGCTGGAGTCTTGCCCAGTCTGATGCCCCACATCCATGCCGAGGAAGAATGCAGACCACCACCCCCATTCCAGCTCTCCTGCTTACCAGTGGGAACCACAATCTAGCCAGGGTATCCCCTTAGCTCCTCAACTGGGTCTGATCTCAGAACCAGACCTTGTGTATGCTAGTGGTTGCTTTGACCCAGCTTAGCATAGCCCTCTGTCTTGACCTTTGCCATTGGATGCTGCAGCTTGGCTTGCCCCAACCCACCATTAGTCCCAACTCTGATGAATGCTATAGCCTGGTCCTGTATTCATACAACCCCACTGACTCATGCAGACCAGTAGATATGATAACCTAGCCCGGCATGCCCCACATTCCAGCCTGGCTCCTGCACTTGTCAGTGAAGTAAGGTTGGCCTGGTCCTAACTGACCCTGTCTGGTCCACCCTCTTGTCAAACCAAAACCTACCCTGTCCAGTGTGACCAACACCCAGGCCTGAATCACATGTTCACCAGTGGCAGCTATGGCCCACAAGGGGTGTGTCCCAAGTTCCCACACCAGATCTACCCCCAAACCCTGACCTCACACGTGCCCTTACCGGGCACAGACGACCTCCCCTGTCCCAACCTATGGATGAGTGGTGGATGTTGTGTCCTGGCCTGCCCCATACCATATTCTTGGATGTGCCTGCAGCTGCCACAACCTGGACCAGCCCAGGGTGTAGCCAACCTCAGTACCCATGAGTTTCAAAAGGTTCCATGGTTATGAATAACACAGTCCATCACTACCCCCATTTCCCAAGCAAATAGGCAGAAATTACAGATCCACAGAGGTGGGTCCACACATGCCCCACAGAATCTACCCTCAGCCCATGGCCCAACCTAACATTTCCCATCCCCAGTTCTCCAATGGGCCTGAGCCTCCAGACCCAAGCCCCTATCCCCGGGGCTAGTCCCTCTGTCTCTGAGTGGAGGTCTGTTTTGATTAGGGCATTAGGAAGCCATTTGTCTAGGTTTCCTTATTTAATGTTGCTAAATGTGTTTATGTATTTCTTGCTCTGTGCTAAGAACTTCATAATTATTATGTGTCTCTGGAGGGGGAATTTAAGGCAATTTAAAGTATTTGTCAAAAGAGGAATGGATAAACACAACCTGGTCAATATGTTGTTGGGAGGTGCAACACCTATTATTGTATCATTGTCATCTTTTTCTAACAAGAAATGGGTCCTGGCATGGTAGCCTAGTAGCTAGGGGCCCCTGTCTTGAATATGCCAGGATCCTATATGGACACTGGTTAAAACCAGTTGTCCCGCCTCTGATCCAGCTCCCTGCTTGTGGCCTGAGAAAGCAGTTGAGGACAGCCCAGGACCTTGGGATCCTGCACCCATGTGGGAGACCCAGAAGTAGCTCCTGGCTCCCTGGCGCCGGATCAGTGCAGCTCTGGCCATTGTGGTAACTTTGAATCAGCGGACAGGAGATCTTCCTCTCTGTTGTTCCTCCTCTCTGTATATCTGACCTTTCAATAAAAATGAATTTAAAAAAGAAATTGCTTTTGTAACATATCATCTGTACATATAAAACACGACTGAATCCAAATCCAGGACAGTTTAGAATACAAACTGTATCTGTCACATCTTCCCCTCTTCTTTTTAAAGATTTATTTGTTCTTATTGGAAAGAAAGATTTACGGAGAGAAGAGACAGAAAGATCTTCTATTGGCTGATTCACTCCCCAAATGGCCATCCCCTGGCTCCTTCCGGGCCTCTCACATGCGGGCAGCGTCCCAAGGTCTTGGACCTCCTCCTTTGCTTTCCCAGGTCACAAGCAGGGAGCTGGATGGGAAGTGGAGAGGTGGGACTAACTGGTTTGAGATGGTGGTATCACAAACAGGAGTTTAACCTCTTGTATGCCAACCCTGAAAGACAGACAGACAGACACACGAACTCCCGCCTACTGGTTTCTTAAGGCCTGCAGCAGCTGCGGTTTAGCCAGGCTTGGATTGAGAGCTGGAAACTCAATGAAGGGCTCCCACACAAGTTGCAGGGACCCAGTGACTCGAACCATCATCGCCTCCACTCAGGTCTGTGGGAGCAGGAAGTTGGAGTCTCAGTCCCAGAGAATCCAATACA